TTATTGGTACAAGAAGTATCAATTATTGGTACAAGAAGTATCAATTATTGGTACAAGAAGTGTCAATAACTGAAACACGTTCTTTATTACAGCTCTGACAGATACAAAAAATTATACACAGACTCAGTTGTTCATTTGCTGTTTATTTACATTTAGGGCAAATTTTTTCACCTCTGAGTAAAGCTACACGTAGGTTTATTTGGCAGAATAGCAAACCATAACCTATAGTCTAAAGCCGGGTCCAGATCAAAAATTTTTTGTGTTGAATGTTGTGTGTTGATTTCGACAAAAATATTTGCGGCGCAAATATTTTTTTTATTGTGATTTTGTCTCGCAAATATGTGCGTTGTGTTGGTGTATCTATTGCGATCAATTTTCGTGCGTCGTGCGTAGCAATAATTTGTGATTAAAATAATTGTACAAACTAAAAAAATATTCAAGTCCACATTGAAACAAGCACTCGAGGGTCGTTCGGCGCAAATCTCTTTGAAGTTGACAGAAAAACCGACAGACCGGTGGATAGCGTGTGTTGTATCTGGCGCAAATATTTGCGTGTTTCTTTGTGCGCCGCAGAGTTCCACATCTAGAAATATTTTGACGAACACGAGCAAATTTGCGTCAAATACAACGCACAACGTAAATATTTATTGATCTGGACCCGGCTTTATATCAGCAAGTAGTTACATTCAAAATCCAGTCTCAATGACTGGTGCTTAAAAAGATGTTTTATACATATTTCAGAAAAAAAAAACACGAGGCTAATGGCCATAGAAGTCGACGCCGTGACACCAAATTAAAAAAAAAATTATTAGAACTAAAACTACCTCACCAATGAATTGTACAAACATAAACTACAAGGAAAAAATATAGTAATAAAGTAATGCTTTAGTTAAAGGGAAAAAAACAACTATTCGTTTTGTTTTGAGTAAAAATGAATTCATTTGAAATTCATTGTACATACATATTATATTATGAGAACATCTAAAGTTAAATAACGATTGATTTGGGAAGTATGGCGATTGTTATGTAGATTTATACCTGCATATTCTTCATATTTCTAATTCAAAGGCACATATTTATCTTCACAAAAACATTGTGTTAACTACAACTCATACTTTTCACTTTTCAAAAATTGTAAATAGTATCTCAACGAATTTTTTTCTACTTTATCAATAATTGTTGACGATAAAAGTGATATTTTTGCGAGCTTAGTCAATCGTGAATCATGAAAAATTAGATGCAGAACATAATTTGCAATCTTTACAATAAAAAATAGACACTAATACGGGGTTGGGTGTTTAAAGTCTATCTATTTTTACTCTATATTTAGCAGAAAAAGTTTCAAGTAAAAATAACTTAAATTTATTAAGTCTACAAAAGGCCATACTTTGATTTTTGTTTACTTCAAGACCATTTAAAGAAGGTCAATTTGTTTTTTAAATGAAAGCACATAAATATTTTAAATAGAAACATACATATTTTAAATTGAAGCATATAAACCATTTCAAACAAACCCAAAAGCGTGCATAATCAGGCCTTCATCGCACGCCGTCTGTATAAAGGTTGCTAGGTAACCGCTTCAATAAATAAGATTAGATTATGTTAGATTTTATTTTGAATTATCAAATTAATGAAATTGTTTACAAGTTTACCTAAATCAAGTAACATGAACAGAAAAATTATTAATTTGCAGTTAAGTTTTAAATGTACGCTAGCGTAAATTTGAGTATGAAAATTGTAAATTTAACATTTTGTAGAACGCAAATCGAAATTCGAAAGGTCAGAATTATGTGAAAATAAGTTTTTAAATAAATTTAAAAATTCGGAAATAAATCTCAAAAATCCCCTTACGAATTATTATGACCATCCCCGGACCCCAAATGTGAAAACAAATATTTGTAGAAAAAAAACTTGGTCATTGCCAGGAGTCCAACCCTCATCATCACGCTTGCCGGACGTGTGTCCTTACCGTCTGGCTGTCAAGACCTGGGTCAAGACATTGACTGTCGAGATTCCTAACGGAAATTTTAGATTTTAATACAGATCTTGTAATATAGGTATTAGAGCAAAATGTGACCAGATATATTTACGGACTTTAAAAATTCACAGTTGTACCATAATTATGTTAAAATTATTCAAAATTTTAGAAAGATTTAAAATGATTGAAATATTTTTTGTGTTTACCAAAATAGTCCAATCAAATAGACCTTTAAATCAAAATTTTGGAGGAAATACAGGAATTTTTGATATAAGTCACTTTAGAGTATTTGAAAACGATGAAAACGATATGTAAAAAAATTTTTTTAGGCACAATAAAGTGTTTTTTTAAGGTTATTTAAAAACGGTAGGTGATATCAAAAAAGTTCTTAATAAAAATTGTAAAGCATAAAGTTTTACATAAAAATAATATTTGACATTTTTTGCTATTATTAAAACTGACAGAGTTAGGGTGGTTAGAAATTAAGAGGAGATATATATGACTTGGAAAAATCATAGCGAGCTGAAAATTCAATGATTTTGTAGTTTCTTTTTATTATTTACTCAGAAAATTATACATTTCTTTTAAGAAAAATTATTTTTTTTGTTTTTTTTTTTAAGTTATAACAATTTTAATTTATAAATTTATATGGTAAAATAAATTTTGAAGTAAACTTATTAGCTTGACTGACAAGAAAAATATGTGAACTAATAAAAACGACATCCCGACAGTTTGGTCCCCACTTGAAGTTCCAATAAATAAAAAAAATACAAACAAATAAATAAAGATAAATACAAATAAATAAAATATAAATAAAAATAAATTAAAAAAATAAAAATAAATAAAAATAAACTAAAAAAAATAAAAATATATAAATAAATATAAATAAAAACAATTATAATTAAAAAATAAATAAATAAAAATAATTAAAACTAAAAAATAAAAATAACAAATAGTGAAAAAAATAAATAAAATTAAACAAAAATAAATGAAAAGATAAGTGTAAAAGAAAATAAATAAAAATAAATAAAAATAATTAAAAAAAAAATAAAAAATTACATAAAAATAAATGAAAAGATAAATAATGTAAAAGAAAGTAAATATAAATAAGTAAAAATAAATAAAAATAAATAAAAATAAAAAAATGAATAAAAATAAAAAAATATTCATTTTTATTTATTTATTTATAAAAAATTAAATGAGAAATATTTAAAAAAAATAAATTAAAATAGGTAAATTATTAAAAATAGAAATTAATAAAAATAAAAAAATTAAAAAAAAATCATTTTTATTTATTTTTATGGAGTTTATCCCCTTATAGGTACACCTCATCATGATCTGCTACTTAGACATAAGTTTTGGAGTTTTGATACAAGACGCAAATATTATTCTGTGGTATTGCTATTTAAAACAGTTCATTTTAAAGTTGATTTTTCATGTTTGATTCATAGTCTTAATTTTGCAGTTCCTCGAATAGCTTCCAGAAACACCCCTACATTTTACTTGAATACACCCAGAACAAATGTTCTCTTAAAATCCCCATGTGTAATAATTATGAATCAGTAAGTTGCCAGCTTGATTTGTTTTATAGTTCAATTCATAATATTAGGTGTTATTTCTATAATAACGTTCTCTGAAATCTTTAGTTTTGCATATATTCATGAAATGAGAGAAAAATAATTATCTTAGCTTTTTTTTCACCTGCTGTTCAATCAATTAGTATATTATTTTTAAATTAATTTTATTTATATATTCTTGTACTCTTATTCTGTAATTGGGTCTTAACCTGTTGAGTAATGTAATAATAAATAAAATAAAATAATTGAAAACTAATACACTTTTTTAAAATTATGTCCATCTGCTTTCATCTACCATTTTATAGTAATTAACAATATATATAAGACCTTCCATTCCGTACGGCACTGTCAAGTTTTTCGTTTGTGTATCTTTCCTCTCTCCCTGTCTAGATAATCATTAAACCCACTACTTCCACATGTAAGGCCTATCTATAGTAACACCTGGTTGAATGTAGTAACAAATCCATAAATGTACTTAACAGTTACAGATTTGCTAAGTCAACTTGACTTGGCTACTGGCCTCTGGCCTAAAATGTACAATGGGCGTAAGTGCACTAGAGCTGAACACAACCACATATGTTTTGAAATTCAGAACTAATAACAAAAAAATTCTCCTTAATGTGCAGCTGATTTTTTAGTCAGAAATTGCCAAATTATCCAAATGCACAATACCCATCAACAGCAACTGCATCCTCTAAAAGTTCCTTCTTGCTGATTGTTAATACATACAAAGTGACTTGAACTTTTTTTACTATTTTTAAAGTATATAATCAATTCAGATGTACTACTAAAAATATAGATGTAATATTTTATGCTAAAAGACGGTCATTTAAATCCAAAGTATAGTCCTACGTTAACGGACGAGGGGTTTAATAGCCACACCAATTAATTATAAACATTATTTACCATAATAAACTTGGGAAAAAAAGGCTTTGTTACAATCATAGACCAAATTTATATATATTTTTAATGGGACCTTCACATTGAGAGAAATAATACAAGTAACCTGCCTAATTCCAACAAAATAAATACATACATGTCACTTATATTTTTAGTGTACCTACTGCTTGGAGTACTTGCAAAAAAACAATACGCCCAATTTTTGCAACGTCATACCCTCACGTCGTTTGTCATCGATAATGAAAACAAAAGCTGGGATAAAAATAATTTTCAAATAAAAAAAAATTGGATTTTTTTTTGTAAAAATAATGAAATCAAGACAATTTTCAGATATTCTGTAAACCAAAGTTGTCTAGATTTACTAATCAACCCTCAAAATTTGTTGACATTATTTAATTATGATAAGATTATTCATGAATGTAAAAAAGGAAAATAAGAAATCAGCATAAAGTATCAATAAATATAATTAGAAAAGGATTAAGTGCTAAACCTACTTTCTTGTTGTCAGAATCTGACAAAAAATATAACAATCAAATTTGACATACCTTTTCATCCTTATCATTTTCCTTACTAGTATCGGAAGTAGCGGGCTTTTCTGACTTGTTCTTATCACTTTTATCGGGTGCTTTAGGTGCATTATCATTTTCTGGAGATGGGGCCATTTTTTTCAAACCCAAATAAAAAAAGTGTCACAAATGCACGACAGGCACTTTTACATGTAATACATTTTCTGTTTATTTAGTTTACACATCACTTAGATAATAAATTAAATTATCTACTATTTTCACAGTTTTTTTAATATAGTTTTTATGTCCAATATCCACATTTTTGCAGTCCGCCATTACACTTTTCGTACATTTCAGAAAGCACAAGTAGCGCCATCATGTGATTTCAATCAGAAGCGACTACAGTTTAAAAAAAGGCTCTTTCCATTTAACCTGACTTAAGACAACCCGTCAATAATTAACAAGGGTAACGGTCAGGTAGGTCAAGATTTGTTTTCTAATGACCAAATAGATAGGATATATCTCTCAACCAACTGTTTAATTTCAAAACCGCCACTGTGAAAGTATAAAAAGGTAGTCGATCAATTTCTATTGAGTACAGTAAATGGTTGTCTGGGGAAGTCTTGAATATTTTATTATATCGTTGTTTTAATCGTTGTCTGTATTTCACATTAGTAATCTATGGTCTGTATAACAAGACTTCAAAATATATACATATTAATATTACATTCGTACGGGTATTATGTACATATAAAATATGTACGTAACTTTATGATGGTCGCAAGCATATGCAACCATGGATACAGAAAATAATTTAGTTGAGCTGGTCACGACCGTGGTCGATCGCATGTAAAGCCGAGCGGTCGAGCCGGTAACCGTGACGCATGACAGAAAGGATTTTCAGAAAACGTCAATATTTGAAAAATATTTTAATTGAATTATTTAAGTTAAGATTAGAGACAATTAAGATATTGCAGGTAATTTACCAAATTCGTTATCATGGCTGAAGAAAATATTTTTATATTCGTACCAAATATAATAGGTTTGTTATGTTATAAATAATATGTATATATTGGTAAAATGCTATTGTTTACAGGATATGCAAGAATTGTTTTGGCAATAATATCTTTTTATTTTATGCCCACAAACTATATAATTGCTTGTGTATGTTATGTAGTATCTGCCCTTTTGGACGCGTTTGATGGTCATGCTGCCAGGTAAGAATTTAATATTTTCTTTTAAAGAAAACATTTGTATGTATTTTTGCAGGTACTACAATCAGAGCACAAAATTTGGTGGTATGCTAGATCAACTTACTGACCGATGTGGCACAATGGGCTTAGTCACAGTACTTGCACATTTTTATCCAAAATACATGTTCTTATTCATTCTATCAATGTGTATCGATATAGCTTGTCATTGGATATTTTTACATACGTAAGTTACATTTGTGAATTCAAAGGTAATTATCTAGTTCAGTGGTGCGTATACTTTTTTTCTATGAAGATCTATCAACCAAAAATCTATAACTGGGAGATCAACACCTTGTACTAAAAGTTTGAAGAGCAAAAAAAGGTAATTTTTGCTTTTTTCTGATGCTTCTTCCGAGGTGGTCACGTATTACGGGTGTCTTCGCATTTAGTTATTTGTTCTGCTCAAGGGCCCAATGCCTGAATGAGCGAATAATGACAAATGGACAATATAGGGTCTTCAGTGATCGACCTAAAGGCTTCTCACGATCGACTATCTGGGCACCATTGATCTAGTTTGACCTCTTTTCGCTTATGAAAGAACTAAGCGTACCTACTTGTAGGAATCGCTATTGAATACAAAAAAATGTAAGGTCCCATATCTTGTGCAAATTAACAAAGACAATTTTTTTTAAATAAAAATATTTCAGTTGCTACTATTACACTATTTTCAGGTTGCACAAAAAGTTTACAATTCTATTTATTGTCAAATACGACAGCAATTCATTTCTAATAATTGTCCTTCTCCTAACAATATTTTATAATATAACTATTGATGTTGTTTTACCCACCCAAAACCTCAATTTTTCATAAAATTGTTAATATTTAAAAAATGGCTAATTTTTATTTAAAAAATTGTGTCATTTATTTGCACAATAAATGGGACTTAGGTTTTTTTTACAACAGTATTACCTACAAGTATGTATGTTTACTTTTTTTCATAATCAAAAAGATCAAACTATAGTGCGAGACACACTGAGAATGCAGTGTGAAGTCTTATGAAGCGCGCCATTGCCAATCATCGCTATGCTGGGATCGGCAAAAAACAGGCCCGGTCTCAGGCAATTTTATCTCAAAATATGTATGTTCAAACAAATACACACAATAATAATAATAAATTTCAAAATTACAAATTTATAAGTAACTAAATAATACATAAATTTTACGTTATAGATAAATAATTGTAAGTCATCGTCGAAGTACTCGTATAAAATCTCACTCTCAGAACTGTTGCCAAAATTGACTCTTGAGTTCATCACGTTGTCTTGGAGATTATCAGTGACCCACATTTCTTTTTCCATTTTTTCTCTGACATGTGCAACGCAATTAAGTCAATTTTGTTCAGTGAAATGTTGTTCACAGCCATATAGCACTTTACCTTATTCCATACCATCTCAATTGGGCTAAGCTTGCAATGATAAGCGTAAAACAGTTACCTCGTATTTTGCAACTATTTTCTCAATCTTATATTTGTCGTATTGCTCTGTGTGCGTTGGCAACTTCAAGCAGCTCAGATTTTAAATAGGAGCCGTCAAAGATAATGTTTTTTTCAAACAGCCAATTTTTTATTTCGGATTTGTTCCACGAGGTAGCTGGAAAACTAAATTTACGGGAATGATATGAAGCGTTATCCATAACAATAGCGTTCTTTCGTCCATTTTTGGGTAAGTTAGTAATCAGCGACTCCTCAAATCATTACTCAAAATAGTAGGCGTTGATTTTGTCATGATAATCGGCATCGTTTTTCTTTGCCAAGAAAACACGTGGGGCGTCAGGTAAAAATCCACCTTCATATCCTGCATGAACAACGTAGACCTTTTTGTGTAGGTGCTTTGAGGCCTGTGGTTAAACCCTTTATAAAAGCATCTCTACAATTTTTTATGGTGTTATCACACCATGCATAGTTAACCGTTTGAACCACGTTGACCCAACTCTCATCTAAATAGATAACGTTACAACTTTGTTGGCGATATTGTTTGATGGCTCTTAAATACCTATGCCACCAATGAATGATTTCGTTTCGTTCTATCATTATATTTTTATGACCACGCTTTACATATTCAAAACCAATATCTTTCATCAATCCACAGGGTTCTTAAAGGAGAACAATGGTGAATTCTCGTTCCTCGAATAACATAAATTGCATTCAAAGTTGGCGGAATATTTAATAAATCCTTGTGCAGGGGCAGAAGTTGGAAAGGCTTTTGGCAGGTGGAGAGGGGGTAAACGTCAAACCACGTCGGACGACTTCGAGAATTTCGCGGTTGTTTATCTGCCAGTGTTGTTTCATGGAATAAGGAATTTTAAATTGTTATCAGCGGAACCGGACAGTCGTATGTATTTATGGACTAGAAATAATTAAACAAGTATTATAATATTCCAAATCATATTTCTACAAAATCTCAACACCTATTCACAATTTATTAAACTACCCAAAATTGCTATTAACATCTATAAAATAATTTTGTACGCCAATGTATCGCGTCCACTTCGGTTAGCTCCGCCGCAAAACTGTCAATTTCTGTGTATGAAGTGGGAGAACTTCGAAAAGCCTTTTCAACTTCTGTCCCTGCTATAGATGTCTTTAGTTGTATTTTATGACAGAGGTACCTTATTTTTTTTAATTCCACAATCTGCTTAATTTTTTATAGAATAATTCGTACATTCTAAAATCCTTACTTGCAGTCATAAAAAAAATAAATATTATGTTTAAAAAGAACAATTATTGGTTCATGTTCAGTTGTATTTTGACAAGCAATACTTTTTAATATAAAATAAATGTTTTCTTTTTAGATCTATTTTACAAGGCAAAACAAGTCACAAGTTTGTTGATATGTCAGAAAATCCTATAATGAGTCTATACTACACTAATAAAAATGTTTTATTTACAATGTGTGCTGGAAACGAAGCTTTTTATGCTTCTCTCTATTTATTGCATTTTACAGAAGGACCTATAAGTAAGTATCAAAGAAATTTAAGCTGATATATCTGAATAGTTTCGAGTGTGTGCACTACCTCCACAATACATAATAAAGGCGAAACCTGAAAAGTGGGTAACTCCACATTTTTATGAATTTCAGATTTTAGTACCATACTATCACTAGTTTGTGTATCTTCCTTTCCTGTAATAATTATTTCAAATTGGAAAAAAGCAATTTACGAACTACAGACATCCTACATTTCTAAATGAAAAAAGTGTACTAGAGTAGTTTGCACAATTGATTAGGACCCGGTTTTAAGAAAAATATTTTTTTGTCTCTCCTGTAAAATTTCTTAAAATGGAGTTACATGCTTTTTGAGTTTATCCATCCGATATGCCTCATTAGTGTCATTGTGCATTCTCCATGACTAAAGTGGTTTCCTCATGGGTCATCAACTAGATTACTGTTTTAAAGTAACCAAGAAGTGCCATTAATACACCTTGTGTATGAATACTCCCAGGATGGCCTCCCTTTTTTTGTACAGTAATTTTCTAGGTGTCACTGTTGATTTGCCTGTGGTGTAATTGTTATATTATAAGGCAGTAAGATTTTAATATTGTGTAATCCATCTTTTTGCGTTTCAGTATTTAGGCAACATTCACTTCACTAAAAATTCAAGATTAACCTTATTTTTCTTTCCATAGTTGCAGGTCTCGGTCTATTCAGAATCATTCTCTATTTGACAGCACCAATATGTTTAGTGAAGACAGGCATCTCCATTTTACACTGCATTGTCGCTTCAAAAAACCTGTCAATTATAGACGTGAATGAAAGAAAAAATGCTACTAAAAAGGCATATTAAAAAATATAAGAAAAATCTCATTTTCAGATGAAACAATTTTTTGTATCTGAGTATATATCTATTTCCATTTAATTATAGGTGAAATTCCCTTAATATGTTGAATTGAGAACATTTTAATCTCAAAATTTAACTATCATTAGTCCTGTAGAAATTGATTTATATTTATTTATTTTTAGTTATCAAAATCTAATTTAGAGGTAACAAAATTTTAGGTTATTTTTTGTTCTAGAGTCTCTAGGAAGTCAAAATTTGTTTTTCGAATACTTTGTCTCTTGATTTATTTTATTGTGTTACTGTATATTATTTGGTGTGTATAAATAATTTGTACACATTTTTTTAATTGTTTATAAATATTTTATAGTATGTTGTTAATTTGTTTACTTGTCTACTTAATATTTATATTTTTATTACTTTTTAAATGTACTTGTTAGGCCAAATGTTTGTAAAATAAAAATAGTAGTTCCCAATTCGATTTTTTTTATTTAAATAAGGTATTTGGAGTGTTTGGGTTTAAAATGAAGCAGTAGTTTTGAATACATTTTATTTAACAAATAATTCTAATAAATATATAAAGCATGTAAAGGTAAATAAAAATGAAAAACATTAAAATATACCTAATTGAAAAAAAAACCTATAACTGAAGCAAGCACAAAACTGGTTTAAAAATAAATTGATACCCGATTATAACTGAAAATTATTTAAATTAAATATAACTAAAATGTAGTTTCTGGATCATAACTTTCATGAATAAATACATGAAATGGTAACTTTCCATTATTACCAGATGTCATTAAAAATAATTACATTTTTAACAATAAAAATTAGATTACTCCTTGTATACAGGGTCTCCCATTAGGAATAGGACATGGTATAACTAAAGAATTTCTGATTAAAAAAAATAAACCAAACATTTAGGTAAAATGTTACTTGTTTCCGAAACAACTATAAAAAATATCAAAATTTCCAAATAAAATAGAGTGAACGTGTTGAAAACGAGTCACTTCCAACAATAGTAGTTGACTTATTTAAAAAACATAAAAAAATGATAGTCCAAATACGAGGGGTAATATTTAGAAGGGAGGTGTTACCTATGTCGTACACCACTTAGTTTATTTAACTGATTTTTTTGCTGATATTATGACACCAAAAACGTCTGCTGAATTTAGTAAAATTATACTAAATAATAAAAAATATAGTCATTAATAATTTTTGGATTTTCAACTTTAACACCCTATATTTCGGAAACTAGTAACATTTTACCTAAGCATGTTTCCTTTAATCGTCACATTTTTAATCAGAATATTCAACTGTTTTATGTCCCATTCTTAATGGGAAAGAATAGGAGTATATTCTTACAGACAAAGAGACAATAATTTTTAATTAGTTTTTAACCCACATCAAATTTATGAATTTGATAACAGCATATTAAAATGTAATTTAGATATTATAGATACATTTTATTCCCTACAAATTTTAATAGGCACTCCTTTATCAAAAATAAGGTCATTCTTTGAAGGATACAAATTTTTTAATTGTTCACTCTGATCTACAGCTCTCACCTGCTGCACATTCAAATCTTTTTCAAAAAGTAGTACCATATCTTTTACAAGGTTGTTTAAAACATTTTTGCATACAAGTTGAGACACTGAACTGGTAACTTCAATAAAAATATGTGTGGTTGTAGTTTCAATCTAAAAATCAAATCATTTTTGCATTTCATATAAAAGTAAACTCCTAAAAATCACCTACTTTAGAAATATCCGAGTTTGTTATTGGAGGAAAAGATACAACTTCATTTTTTGAATTCAATACACAAGGATATTGGGATTTTCCTTCAATAAGGTACAAGTATTTGTGGATCCCACTGTATGTGCTTCTCTTCTTTTCCTTTCTTAAATTATTTGCTTCTGTCTGAAGTTTAGCAAACAAATCAGATCCACTCATTACATTGCTCCTGTTTAGAGGTTTTATCATGAGATCACTTGGTAGAGCTGTGGTATAAATTAGGTTACCAAGGGGCTACAACAAATTAAATATTTAAATTTTCGTTTTTAATAAATTGGGATATCTTACCAGTTTATTAAAATCATGTGTTGCAATTGTAGCAGCAATTCTTTTGTCACAAACAGTGTCATGTAACTTATTTTGTAACTGAATAAATCTTTTGAATGTATCATCGGTAAAAGATACATTATTCACAATACAACCTAAGAAATGTTCCCGTACAGTCTTAACAGCATTCATTATTACTACCTAAAAGCATGTTTCAACAATAATAAATACTTAAATGCATTATTAAGATTACCTTAAAGTCTTCATTATAATTTTTAACATTTATAGAATACTTGTAATTAGTAGAATCATTATCTTCTTCATCTGTTTCTTTACTCTTAGTTTTTTTCCTATTTTTGCCTTTATTTCCACCATCCTCATTTACAATTGTTTTAACACAATGTTGTTTGACATAATCCAAAACTTGTTTAGTCCTACATTGATCTATCAGCTTTAGAAGTCGCCTGTCTGATATTGGATTGGCTTTCAAATTCAGTTCTTTAAAATATAAAGCATTAATATCTTTAAAACATGTTTCTGCAAATTTAGAAAATTCCATAGTGGCAAAGGAGGCAGTTGTCCCACTCTTTCCTTGTGAAGAAATGTCTGAACAAAAGTGTCCATGGTCATAACCATAATTGAGTATTTTTTCACCATATAACTACAGGGTGTTAAAATTGCAAATTGGTCATTAAAACAAAAACAACTTAATAAATGGAATTTGAGATCATTAAAAACTGAAAAAGGACTAAATAATACGAAAGTATATCTAATTATAAAAAAAATACAGGAAACAAAGTTTAATTCTCTAAAATATGCAAAAAAAACTGCAACTTAGAATATAAGCATGTCTACTCAATTAACAATCTTAAAAAATTATTACATGATGCAAAAGAAAACAAAAAGTTCCAGTTTAGTTTTCTAGATTAACATTTTCTGCACTATGTTATTAAAATATACAACTTACTAAATATACACTTAAAATCATATTTCAGTAGAAGCTCATTTATTATTTTGAAATCATATTTACTAGGTACCTATCCAAGCAAATGTAAATATGTCATGCATTTTCTTGATTTAAATCAAATCAGATTTATTAAACTAAATAAAACATGTATCCATTCACATAAGGTTAGGTCCACAAATGTCTCCCTTTGCCCCACTGGAAAATATTCTGACGGGGCCTATGGGTGCAATATGTTTCCAAATATTTGTAAATATTCCAACCACAATCATAACATCCAAGGAAATAGCTATTTTTGAATTTTCAGTGGTAATGAATAATAGCAAGCAAAATACACCTTTGACTAATTAGTTTTCAAATTTAATCTATTAGGCAATTAATAAAAATGAATGAAACATAAACAAATATCCAAAGATTCCTAAAAATTAATCAAATCTAAACAATCATCATTGGGATCTACCCCGAAATTCTATACTAATATTAAATAAAGTACCTTTTAACTTCTGACAATCTGCCAACTCCCCAGGAAGTGTCTTTAACTTATTATCACTTATATCCAGTAATTTCAATGATGGCAAAGTACTTATTTTATTTGGAATCTCTTCAATTTTGTTTCCATGTAGTTTAAGCTCAAGTAAATTAATCAATTCTTCTGAACATATTGGGGGAAATCGATTTAACTTATTATTTGATAAGTCAAGTACAGTAAGTTTTGTATTCTTTGTGAACTCAGGAAAACTCTCTAGTTTATTTACATTTAAATTTAGAGTAACCAGTGGTAAATTTGCAAAACTGTCTGGAATAGACTGTATGTTATTTCTAGATAAATCTAACATTTTCAGCTTATTCAATTTTGATATGTTTTCATTTATGTTTTTTATTTCATTAGAATGTAGCACCAAAGTTTGTAAATTCATTAAGTTGCAAATATTATCACCAACTTCAGATAGATTTGTTTCACTTAGGCTCAAATAATTTAAACCGGTTAAGGTATATATTGATATATCCAATCCATCTTTATCAATTCTTGAACTTATTTCTTTACCGGTTAATACCAATTCGTGTCTATTTTCCGATTTCGCCTTTTCTATTTCTGGCCACATTTTGAAAGTATTTTTTCTTCGTAACGGATTATTTTGTGATTATAATTTATTATAAAATGAAAATTTACAATAAGTAGTCGATAAATCACTTGTAACAAAATCTATATTTATTTATAATATATTGTGTAAACTTTTGTAATTAAAACACAAACCTAAAAAATCTACAACCATTAAAAAAGCCAGATAGTTCAAATGAGTTGTTAGGCATAACTTCGTGATCATCGCAATAATAGTTTGATAAGATAAGAATAAATATCCAAAAATACATTTTTATATTATTATTTTTCTATTTGCGGTGTACTAAGATATTGAATAAAGTAAAATAAATAAATAAATAAATATATTTAATTTGTTGATTTTTATTTAATTATTTTAGCTACTGCAAATTCTAATAAATGAGTAGTAGGCCTAAATTTCGTGTTAAATTGACATTTAAAATCGTAACCAACGGAAGGAAAATAAAAAAACTAGTTTTTTTGTATTTATCCCTCTGGCGGCGCGAATTGGTACTAAATAAATTAAAAAGTCCCTAAATTTTTAGTGTCTCGGTTATTCTTTTGTCACCAGAAATCAATGTTGGTAGCGTTAGTGCTTTCTAAGAAGGCGAATGGCGTACTAGCTTGTCTGTTCTCTGCCGTTCTTCTAACTTTAAAAATAAATAATGCCGCGTTCTAAAAAAGTTGTAAGTTAATTACAGTGTCAGTGAATATTTAGAATACATATATTGTATTTTAAATATTATTAGTCGCTTTATATACCACCTGCATGTCTGCGAATGAGTAAAAAAATGGTAATGTCATTTTTCCCAGACCCTTCTTTCTTTGCATGATATGTTTATTTTACGTTTTTTCCTTTTAAAACGCTTTAATATTTCACGCAATAGATCCAAAATACATTTTGTACAATCCTAGATTATCGATTTAATACATTTTGTTCTTTTTTTTTATTTTTTTCCTGGCATACTTGCGTTAAAAATTCATAACCAAAAAAATACAAAAAAAGCACTGCTCGATTTTCGATCTATGGCCTACCTAGAACTTTAGTAAAATGATTTAGGATTTCAATTAGGTTTCAATAGCTTATTCAGTGGATTTAGGGCGTTGGTTAACGCCATATTTGTCTTAGAATAAAAATCCTAGATCCTAGCCCCTGTTACTTAACATTTTCTTATGAATTTTGTATGTCTCTATATTGAGTATTAATAATAAATGATATCATCCTGTTTATTCCGAGAATAATAAAATGAATCAATTTTATCAGCTTTTTCTTGACTAATAGAGAACAAAAAGTGGGTAATTGGGTGCATTAATATTTTTTTGCTTAGTAGATACTTAACATTAATGTTTGTATTACAGAAATAGACATAGAGATTTACATAGTGTTACTGTTTGTTATTGCTAGTCTAAGAAGATGACTGATGAAGATGATAATTTATCTGACAGTGATTTTGGAGAAGATGAGGATCCTGATAAGATTGAAGTGCCAGGTGAGACCTTCCTTAAACCTCCAAATAACTTTAATTTAATGATTTATTTTTAATAACACATGACTAGGAACAATTTATTGATTATCAATATGTAATAATGATCTTTTATCCCTGTTTATATTCCAAATAACTATAATAAACTATTACACATTCCTAATTTATGGGACACTTACATTAATTTATTTTTTGTATATTAAAATATGCGTTTTTATAAGGTGGGGGCAAGGACCTTGCTGCAGCAGCAGCGATCATGGAGGGCAGAGAAAAGCAACTGAAGCAAGAGGCACTTAAACAAGGGGCCCTTAAGCAAGAAGATTTCAAGCATGAATTCAAACCAGATATGGCGAGGATGGCTCAAATGTCAATGAGTGGTTACCCCAAATTGCCCCCCAACATGCATCCCAGCACTTTTGACATGATGAGAACCCCACAAGGAGGTAAGTTACAAGGCGCATTTTGAATTGGAATATTTTATTGGGTTAGAAATGTAGCTTTTTCTATAATAGTGTGGGATGTACTGAAAGGTTGTCTAAATAATGTAAAGGATATGTAATATATCATCGGCTTAAGATGCAAATAGCCCAACTTCACTTTTAGCTCAAAATGGTGTTTTCAGTTGGTCACGCTCATAAAAATTAACCACGTCTTCTGAAGAACGCCTAACTTATGAAATATTAAAATTGCTGAGTCGAAAATGACCTACCTCCCGCTTATTCAAATACAGTCCAATTAGGCTTTCGCTTTCTGAGTTGTTTTTTGCATATTCTGAATAATTTTCGATTTTAGGCCAGTTGCATCTTAAGGCGATGATATGCTAAAAAAAGAGGTCCCTGTTTGATATTTAGTCTTTTATCATGGTAATTTAATTAATTTTTACAAGATATTTGAAATATGAATATATTACTGTTATGAATTATAATCTTTTTTCAATATTTTTAATTTACTCTAAAAAATAGATATACCTACTTATTATTATGGTCTATTCTTTAGGAATTGATAGTACCTATTCATTTGTTATTGAGTTATAATAATATTTTCTACATGAAAATCATCTAAATTACGTTGTTTATTTTGGTTATTGATATTTAAATGGGTAATAAATATATATCTTGGTTATACCTGGTGGTGGATAACTGTTAAGTCACTGATATTCAGTTTTATTGGTTTGTTATTGTAATCAATTGTATGGTGAAATAATAAATAAATATTTTAATCATAATTCAGGGCCCTTTTTCTACTTCCTCTACCAATTGAAAATAATATTTTCTATTTTATTTATTTAATTATAGCTCTAAAATTAGTTCAACTGACTAATGGTTTCTCTTCAAACCTACACAGAACACGAGGCTAATAATCTTAGTAGTTAATACCAATAACACAAAAAAAAACACCATTTTTCTAATCTTCCAAAGTTCCCAATTTGCCTTGGCCCTGGGCCACTTGGAATTGACTGACTAGAATAAATCTTCTCTATGAATAAAATATTCGTCAAAAGTAATCTTTCTTAATAATTCTCTTTGTACCTACTAGACATGTATTTTTTAAACTTTCAATGAAACATGTTAATGATTCCAAAGATGATTGACTTAAATTGATAGTGAGGAATTTTTATTTTGTTGGCATTTAAGAATGGGCAATTTTTATGAATTAGTGTGGCTCCACATGAAAAAGTATCAATATTGTTTAGAACTATAGACCTTGGACCAGTCTTACTTATCCAACCTTATTTAAAAATTAAATTGAGGTAAGTACATACATAAATATATTTTTTCTTCAGCAATTGATTTTGTTCTTTCAAAAAAAAAAAAAACAATTGCATTGATCTGTTCAAGGTTAAATATTGATCCTATTCCAATGTGTATACATTTCATCCAAATCGTGCCAGAGTTGCTCCTTTTTGAAGCACTTACAGATTATTTTCACTAGGACATCCTAAGGCTTAATCGCAGCACTCCAGCCCTCAAGGCTTATTGCACTACCATTTGAGAATCTTGCTGCTTTAAGGTACCATTTCGGAAGGCGCAACAGATGACAATAGAAGCGACGGCAAAGGAGCATTTACGTTAAGCTTCACACATTTGAGAAGCAAGGAGACAGGCGACGCGACAACCTCAGACGACAATTCGAAGAAATGATCTGTGTTGCCAAACCTACTGTTTTTAAGTAGATCTACTGTTTTTGCCTCTGTTCTCCTGTTTTAGGCATGCAATCTACTGATTTTGCCGACTTAACAAATTTCGTTCTTAATTTATTAAGTTTGCCTCATTCTTCAGCAAATGGTCAAAGAATATTTTCTCTACTAAATTTGCTGACGTAAAAGCAGTGTAATAAGTATCCACTACTGTAGGTTTGCTCCATAAAAAAGAATTGATAGGACATCATAAAAACAAAATGCATGCCAAACACAATGTATTTGAATTATCTGATTCAGACTGATCTAAAAGAAATACCTATTGTTTTTTTTTTTTTTTTTTTTGTTTCCGTACGTTTATATATTAAAAATGTTAAATATTTGTTTTTATTCTTTGTTTACTTTATAGTATGGGTAGAAAAAAAGATTTATTATTCGTTTCTTATATACTTGTTTTTTTTTTATTTACTACACTGCAAATTATAATTATTTCCCCCCGTATTAAAATCTACTGTTCAGATCTACGGTTTTTTTTTATTTCACCCATACCGTTCCAGCAAATTTTCATCTGGCAACACTGCCTAGATTTAAAAAACTTTGCAACTACCATTTCTATAAAATATCGACTACCTGTCATTGACTTCTGTCTCTCGCACTGGTCACGCCTTGCGAAATGTGGTTCATATAATTGCATGTGTTCAAACGTGAAGAGACAATTTTTATACTTATTCACAACACGTATTGAGATGTTAAGCGCTAGTCTGATATAAGTGCCTTTTACCTAGTGGTCACCTAACCAATATGACTAGACCAGGTTTCACTCCAGTGCTGCAAATACTTGAGAAAATATCTATTATCCATAACCCGCCCCTCCGAGTGTGTCTTAAGTTGTAGTTGTTCAATTTTTAACTAGAAATATTCTAATATATAACTTTTATTTATTTAGGCTTTCATTTATTGATAACAGTAAATTTAAACTTGTTTTTAATAGATAATAAATTATTGAACTAAATTAAATCATTATTTGATTGTAAGTTACATAAGTGATCAAATTTTAAGAAATTAACATTTTTGGTATAAAATATCTAAAAAAAATGTTTATCCACACCATCCAAATGACTTACTCTAATATCCATAACCAACTTCATAAAGATGCGTGTCTTCATTATTATTTGGATGCTTTTATTTTCACTTGTAGAATCCAATTAAAGTAGAATAAATGCTGTCAATTCTTAATCAAGAGCCTACAAATTTCAATAGTAAAAGTGTATGAAGGAAAACCAATTTAATTTCAATGCAGGTATAATTGATTAATTTTAAATAAGTTTGTTTATTAGTTTACAATTTTTTATACTTTCTAACTTCTATAATTTATTATTCAAACATTGAACCAATATATCTGATTTTTATTGTTATTGTTATAAAATATTTTTTTAATTTTAGTTAGTAATATTTTCATAGATATGTACATATTTTTGAGTTGTTAATAACAATCGTTTTTGTGTCCTATAAAAAAAAAGAATTTACATTTGTGATAGTTTTTTGTTTGTTTTTGTTTTAATTCAAATAAATATGTACACATCTTGAAGAAAATTAATAATTTGATGATTATAATGGGTTCTGTTATGTGTTTTCTTGTTGTTTTGTTGCAGTGGGTTCCCCATACGGAATGAGCAGCGTAGCCGCAATGGCGTCTATGCTCAACAGTTTGGGGAGCCCAATGAACGTCAGTTCTCTGTTTCCTCCACAACCTTCTGGAGGAGCCGCGGCGGGCTTCAACGCTGCACAATTTCTGCAGCAGAGTAAGTCCTATCTCAGAAGCTGTGAGTGTCGTAATACCTTCTTATAGATCTATCCTTTTTTAATTTTTATTTGGCAAGTGTCTTCTGTTGGTCCTCTTAAGTCACAACTGGATGCAAAATTCAGCATTTGCTGCACTTGTTGGCGCGAAACAAAACATTTGACAAGTGATATACAGGATGTTTCATAGTTAAAGCGAAATATTTTAATGGTCATCAAGGTGGTTCCAAATATACTATATTTAGTAGGTCTTACAATCTTTATGACCAAGACATACAGACTGATTTACCGATTTTGCTAATTTATTTTGATGATCATAACCAACAAACCTCTCGGTATATTTTTTTTTATAATTGAATCAGTCATTTCAAAAACCACATAAGTCAACTTTTGGTAAAATTAGGTTTATGTCATGAAAAGAGTTGCCAGGGGTACCTACACGTTATGTGTAAAAATCATACAAATTGCATTAACCCTTAGATAAGTAAACCTTTTTAAATTTTTGTATTCCTTGCAAATATATAAGATGACGACTTAAGATAGTTCACTCGCGACAGTCGTATATAAATATATCGCCTAATTGTGAATACCAAAAGTTGGAGATTCTCAATGCTAAAAAAATTACCTTTGTAAGAGACTGTTCACAACACATGTAAGCTTATATATGGATACGTTATAATATCAAGGAAAATCCCTCTGGCAAATCGCAAATATATGAATGATTCCAATGATGGGCTATATAAATTTGTGACTTCCTCATACTAATTTTAAGGGTTTGTTTTGATTCAAACAGAACCGCTGATTCCAGATCTCATATACAGTGGATTAATTTTTCAAGAACATGTTACAACAACCTCTTAGCTGATCGAGTTTTATTCACTTACCGCGCGTTAAGTGTAGCGATAACAAAGTTGCCAAGTTGTAATCATTGTATGCAACTATGCGTCGACTGCTTTAAAAATATTTTAATTTTAAAAATCTATATCTTTTTAACAAGACAGTCAAAATATTCAGCGGTTTTTTAGAAAATTTTATAACTTCCTGATTTGCATTACATTAGTTTTTAAAAAAAATGGTAAGAACCATTTTCGAGATATCTTGAAATAAATTCATTGCTTGTGTACATGATAGGCTTCTGGAGTGTTAATTATGGACATTTTGATTGTTAATAATATCTTGTTTCACACACTGTCAAATTCATTTTTTTTTTTTTTAGTTATGTAAAAGACACTTTCATTAACCTTATATTCCTAAAGTTTGGGGAAATACCCAAGCATCTTCCAGGTGGAAATTCACGCCATCGAGAAGTATATCCAGTTTAACATCGAGAGAAACTATCATAGACACGAGAAATGGTCTGGAAATGTCTAGAACAATTGAATGAGCTAGGCGAAAAAAATAGAGTTACTCTCACTTGGGTCCCGGGACATAACGGGGTACAGGGTAACAAGATTGCAGATAGTCTTGCAAGGAAGGGGCTCAAACACCCTTTGTAGGACCTTAGCCATTCTGCGATATCAGCAGTAACATAATATTAGGAGATATTAAAAAAGGAATTGGGCAGTAGAAGAACCTATAATTGGAACAATCTCTTGGGGCTGAGACAGGCTAAGATACTTTTGGGTAAATATAACCAGAAAATATTGGAAGCCTGCATCTGCGTGAGCAAGAACAGGCTACATATTGTAACAGGGATCCTTACCGGGCATTGCCGACTAAAAGGACACCTTAGTAAACTGAGAATAGTAGAGGATAGTGAGTGCAGATTCTGTGAGGAGGAGGACGAAAGAACTGAATGTGTAGCACTCCAGAATCCAAGGGCACTATATCAAATAGAAGAGGGAGATTTACCTAACTTGAAACCACTCCAAATCCTACACTTTCTTGAGAAAATAGGATTGGAAGGGTCGTTGAGACATTTCCTTGGTGCATTAGCGTCAGAAGGGGGCACAATAGATCTTTTAGGTCACAGTGTATTAACACCCCATTCCCAACATAACAACCTTATATTTCAATTTTATTGAATTCCTAAGAAAATCCGTTTTACAAGTGAACTACCTTAAGTGGTTTTTGCAGGTACAGTCAGTTTTCTTTAAGATGACATTTTAATTTATTATCAGCTTATTATTCACTTACCTTTTTCTTACATTTTAAAATTATTTTTATTAATAGTTTTTGATTATGTAGATTTTTGGTCTTATTTCCTTTCAAAACAAATGAAAAATGTTCCGTTTAAAAACTACATAAGTTAATAACAGAATATATTTTTTTTTCTTTAACTTTTGTTTTTTAGATCTTCCATTCTATACATATTACCTAGTTACATAAAAACTTTATTAAAATATATAAATATATTTTTTAAATGAAATGTAATTTTTGTATAAAAAAGTTCTTTTGCGTCTACTGAAAATTAAGTTTATTTGACTTATGTTGTTTTTGAAATTACCAATTAATGTATTCTTTTTGCCGATGATACGACCTTTATCTCAGTTAGAAAAGATCAATCTTGTCGTGTCATATTCTACTAATGATGGTATTGAATTATTGTCAAAAAATGAATCTGAGCTAATAAGCTTATGTTAAATGATGCAAAAACACAAAACCTTAATTTTGGATCTGCTAGTTTCTCATCGGAACTTGATAGTGCCAAAGTGTTAAAAATAAAACTTGATACCTGTGATATTAATATGATTGCACTATTTATTTTTAATACAGTTCTCAAAACTCAAAAAAATATAGTTCAAATCTATTAAATGATGTCCATCATTATAATAACAGACAAGCTGGAAATCTAAGGAAACACACATTTCAAAAACCTTTTGAGTAATAAAGATTGTAAGACACAGTAAAAAATATAGTAGGTTTAGAACCATCTCGTTGTCCTCTATCTATCATTAAAATGAAACACCATGTATATTATACATCTATTACACCTGAACAAACTGAACATAAATTGTAATCTTATTTAATGTATTGTTGTGTTCATTTTGTCCAGGAGTAATTTTTAGTTTCAATGTATCACTCAAAACAAAATCTGAAATATATTCACAAGAAGGTACTAAATAAAAAAAATAAATACTAGTTACTAACGTGACAAAAGTTTTAAGCTTTATTTCTGCAAGTGTAGTATCTGATTTTGCGATTTATGTTAACATGACTATACTATTTATGGTAGTATATGGAGCCTGCTTTTTTTATATATATATGGGATTGGTTTAAAAAGTTTCTGAAATATTGATATTATAGTGAGTATTAAGTACTACTTTTCTACATATAACATGTTTTTTTTTGCATAATCACTTATCCCCATGATTTCTACTTTCTTGTTTCCTGTAACAACAGGAATACTCTAGCTAACATGGTGACCAAGGCATTTCATTATTCTTTTTTTATATACATTTATGCATACATGGAGAAAGAGTAATGAGGCAGTGCATTTTCCAAAGAAAACACAGTTTTTATCCCAACCATACACAGATAAGCTGTATTAGTGATTATGTAATTTGTGTGCTAAACAAAATTGTTTACGTATCTAGTTTTTAAACTATTGTTTAAGAGATTTTAGATTTTAAAATAAAGGATGTCTCAGAAATATTTTAGTTTATCAATACTTCCGCTGGCGCAATAGGCACATTTCTTAGAAGGGAGGCAGTTGGAAAATGGTGATATACAGTGTTAAGTTTTAGTTGCAATGGAGCGATTTACGGGACAACAACGTGCTTTTTGAATTCGTGCATTTTATAAAAACAATGATTCTTATGTTCTTGTGCGTCGTTTGTACATAAATCATTATAACATAGCAAGAATGAATGACGTCCCAACTGCAAATTCAATTAAATATTGATTAAAAAAGTTTGAGAATACTGGAAATTAAATTTCTGTACAAATGATGTACAAGAATATAAGAATCATTGTTTTTATAAAACACAATACAAAAAGTGATATTGTGCTTTGTTGAAAACTGTAGGGTTAGCTATATGTGTCATGCATGAATAGCACCATTTCTTTCTGATTTTTTATATCATCGCTTATTCCAGTATTTTGACTTATATTTTTTGTTTAAACTTTTATTTTTTTGAATTAAAGGATAAGAATAATTAAAGTGTGTTAAAAAATTTTCTGGGAAAGCAGAGGTTTTTGCAATAGCTGAAGTGGCATCTTTTGTGGTGCTCCAGGTTTCGTTTTGTAATGTATAATTTAAAGTCCTAACGTTTTTTTGAGACATTTCTGAAGCTAATATTTTCGTCGACTTCTGTTGTTCTTACCTATATTAAAAGTTAACATTTGAGAATGGTGATCAGATAATATATCTCTTACCAACATATTCTTTTTATATTGAAAATTTGAAAAAAAATATTGTCGGGACATGTTTTAGATCTATGCGTATGTGAATATTGTTTGTTCTAAGTTAAATTGCATCGTCCAAATTATTAGATCTATATACAACTCAAATAACTAAGTTTGAGGTCTTTATATAAACAGCTGTCATTTCACAGTGTAATTCAAGAAATAGTTTTTTATGGAGGATAGTTCTTTAAATGCAAATGATTTATGAATGTGAATACTCACGCCTCCGCCTATCTTTTTAGTTAATTCTGTTTATTGTTTCTTAATTTGTGTCGATTTTAATCATTCTGAGATCTGTTCTTTTGTAATTTGTTTTTAAGCGTGATTGGTTATTTTCAGTTTTATCCTTATTATTTGGAGCAGTTATATTAGCATTATTAGTTTTGTTTGCATTATATTGTGTTTTAAGATCTGTTCGTTTATTAGGTGTAGTTTGTTTACTTCATTTTCCAAACCAGTAATTTTAGTCAACAGTTGTCAAGTTTGGGTACGCAAATGTCAATGTAACTGACTTATTTTTGAATTTTGTATTATTCGAACATTAGACCTACAAATTTTCAAGTTTGATGAAATGCATTTTTTTTTTCTTTTTTTTTTTACATGTCACGAATTTTCCCACCACCAGCCCCATCAAGACAAAGGCTGAAACTTTCACTATTGGTTCAATCTGAAATATTTCAGCGCTCTCTCCCAGTCTAATATTTGTAAGAGTTTTTATTTATTTTTTTTTATTTTTATCAAAACAATATTTTATTTCCGTGGACTTGCTATGCTATACAACTGCCCTTTTCTAATAGTTCTTTTTTTTGTGTCATATTTGGGTTTCTAATACTGACCAAACATTCAATACCAATGTGGTCAATATGTTGTAGATCTAAGGAAAACCCTTTCAACGAGATTTTAAAATCGAACTTTCAAGAACTTTTTAATCAAACCTTTGGTAAAAATTTGTTTCGGGATTACGCTTATTTACAACAATTATTAAATAATTACTAAAAATCTTATTTTAGATTATTTTTAAATAATCTATATGAATTTTTTTAATTCAATTATAAAAGTTGGCTCCATATACAATAGTTCTGATCAATTGCATGAAGTATGCATGCACCACATTCTAAACTAAAAACAAAATTTCCATAACTAGCTACACTTTCAAATATACCTAATCTTCCTGATAATATCCTTTCTGATTTTATTGTGCTTTTCGTAAATTTTCCCATTATTTTCTGGACAAGGTTATAAAGTAAGTTTGTTTGGGTAGATTCAATAGTTGTTTGTTCCACTTATTCTACTATTACGCGCTTTTAACATATTTCTCCTTATAGTGGAGATGCTCAACCCCTACTTTAACCCTGGATACTTATCAATGTTCTATCCGGGTCATGTTCCAACTTGGGGTGGTCCTCTTAGCAACAAAGCTGTCCAATCGATGTGGATGAACCAAATGGAAAAACCGATGCAACAGCAAGAAGAGGAAGAAGGAGACGATGAGGAGTTAGGTGTGGCAGAAACGTACGCTGATTACATGCCCTCTAAATTAAAATTGGGAAAGAAGCATCCTGATCCTGTTGTTGAGACTGCTTCTCTATCTTCGGTCGCCCCCGCCGATGTCTGGTATGAGCTGTCTTTGCCTGAAGAGTGCATGGATAAGGGGCATTTGTCTGCGTTGCAGTTAGAGAGTATCACTTATACTTCACAAGCACATTCGCACATTTTACCTAATAAATCTAGAGCTGGATTTCTGATAGGTATTGTATACACTTTTAAAAGTACATTTACAGATCTTTAATAATATTGTATTGTTAAATAGTATTCTTTGTCTACGGTTTAATATATTTTTATTTGTATAGGTGATGGTGCAGGAGTAGGTAAAGGTCGCACCATTGCGGGTATCATCTACGAAAACTACTTAAAAGGTCGAAAGAAAGCAATTTGGGTATCAGTATCCAACGATTTAAAATACGATGCGGAAAGAGACTTAAGGGACATCGGCGCTGGAAAAATCGACGTTCATCCTTTAAACAAATTTAAATATGCCAAAATCAATTCATCAACGAATGGCAATGTTAAAAAAGGAGTTATATTTAGTACTTATTCCGCTCTTATTGGCGAAAGTAACTCAGCCGGGGGGAAGTACAAATCGAGATTGAAACAGATAATGCAGTGGTGCGGTTCTGATTTTGATGGCCTGATTGTTTTTGATGAATGCCATAGAGCTAAGAACTTGTGTCCTGTTGGATCATCAAAACCTACGAAAACCGGTAAGGTTTGGTCAATATTCCTCTTAAATTATTTTGTCTATTGCTTATTTTTAAAAACTCCAAACTTTTCAGGCTTAACAGTTCTCGAATTACAAAACAAATTACCCCTCGCTAGAGTAGTATATGCGTCCGCCACTGGCGCTTCGGAACCCAGAAATATGGCTTATATGGTGAGATTGGGATTGTGGGGCGAAGGTACACCTTTTAAAGAGTTCGCCGACTTTATTTCCGCTGTAGAAAAAAGAGGAGTAGGCGCTATGGAAATTGTCGCCATGGATATGAAATTAAGAGGAATGTACATAGGTAAAGTAAAGCTCAGAAATATTATTCTGAATTTCACAATTTCAGCGAGATCAAAGGGTATCGTGAACAAAATAGGATTGTTTAGCAATAAATATAATATTAATGAGTTATCAGGGTAATCAAGTATAAAATATAAAAAAGCATAGTGAACCACATTACAAATACAATATCTTCTATAAATATCAGATTTAAATTTAGAAATCATTTATGCTGTAGGAGTTATTTTCTAACAAATAGATGTTAATAACTATTTTTAAACTTTAGGTTATCAGTAGTACCCAGAATACTGAAAGCTTTGTATATAGTACTCATAACTAAATTTTACACAACACGTAATTTTGAGCAAAGCAGATATACATTACAATTGCGTCTAATGGAGATATTTTTGTATAGTATTTTTAAAATAAAAACGGATGCACGTCTTACATCATTTAAAAAGTCATGACATTGCAGTGTTGTTTAATCATTAAAATACTTAGAAATGTAGCCTTGTAACGTTGGCATAAACTGACATTCCTGATATTATTCGTTTCCGGCTCGACTTATGCTAACTCTATAGTTTTCACACGTATTGAAAAGCGTTATGGTTGGTTTGTTTACAATGTTAACCAATAAATTAACTATAATAAAGATATATAATACTTGACATTCTATATTATACTCTTCACAGTCCACAGACCCTGTTAATCCCCCATTTTCTATAAATAGGCTTCATCCCCTTATAAAGCTTGATTTTTCCGAAAATTTCAATTTAATATCTTTTTGTTTCCGAGTTAGGATTTTTTTTAATATTTCAACGCCCCTTGTTAACCACTCTTTTTTTTTCAAAATTTTTTTCAGAATTAATATGCTTTATCTTCTTATAGAGCTTGATTTTGACTAAAAATTTCATGTTGATGTCGTTTTTGAGTTAGGATTTTTTTTTAATATTTTAACCCCCCATTTTTATTTAGATTTTTTTTTTTAAATCAATAGGCTTAGTCTCCTTATAGAGCTGATATCATTTTTCATTTTTGAAACGTAACATCGGACGGACAAAATAAACTTATAATACTCTTGTCCCTACCCTTATTATGCTCACATATGTCAATATTAATGTCTCCACAGACCTCATAATAATTCCATAGATTATAAATGTCATGGAGTAACTGATACATATGTCGATGTTGATCTATAAATAGTTAATACGACTTATTTTTAATAATATCAAATGAGACTATATACTCAAATTGTTTTTCATTCTGATATTTTCAAGGTGTTGTTTTCAAAATTAAATTATTTTTAGGAAACATTAAACAACCACTACATTCATTGTCACTACGACAGAAATCATTACACTTTAAATAGTTTTTTAAATATAGTTGGTAAAGTTCATCTTATTTCAACCCGTGTTCAGAGAAACAAAGCACATCAATAAAATTAAATTTATCAAAAAATATTTCCAGGTCCAGAACTTTCTTGGCTGTACCCTGTATGAAGTTTATGCATTCAGAAGTGGTATAATGAATTGAACATATTTATATGTCTGACTTTCCTCAGGTTCAAATACCTCATGTAACTGTTTATGCTGCAGCTACATAAACTATACAGTGCGCCCAAAAAGTAGTGCAATAATTAATTTTGGACATTGACTTTTATGAAAACATCATGAAACAAGTAGATTTTTTTTAAAACAAAACTGACGTAACTCTTTTTAGAAGGGATTATTTTTTCTAAAATAACTTTTCTTTTGATCTAGCTCGACAATTAAGCTTTCACGGTGTAGCGTTCAAAATCGAGGAGGTCCCGCTGTCGAAAGAGTTTGAAAAAGTTTACGATCTCAGCGTGAAACTCTGGGTAGAAGCTATGCAGAAATTCCATGAAGCAGCCGAATTGGTCGACGCCGAAAATCGTATGAGAAAAACTATGTGGGGTCAATTCTGGTCGTCGCATCAGCGGTTCTTTAAATACCTTTGCATCGCCGCCAAAGTGCCGCATGCGGTCGCAGTCGCGCACGAGGCTATAAAAATGGGAAAATGCGTAGTGATTGGTTTGCAGAGTACGGGAGAAGCCAGGACTTTGGAGCAATTAGAAAGAGACGATGGAGAATTGACAGATTTTGTTTCAACTGCAAAAGGTATTTTTTTTTCTCTTACATTTCGATGCAATATTGTATTTTACACAGATTTTCTTACATCTTACAGGTGTTTTTCAAACTCTTGTGGAGAAACATTTTCCCGCACCGGACAGGAATAGGATTCAAAAACTTTTGGGGTTAGAACCTCCTGTTACGAAAAAAGCTGCAACAAATGGTAATGATGAAGGGCACAGTTCTTCGGGGAAACGAAAACTAGGTAATTTTTAAAGACATAAAAAAAATTATTTGAACAGTTGATTGGAAAATCTAAATAAATTACAAAAAAGAAATATTATTTAAAACGAGTAATTAATTCTAAGTTGTTTGAATTGAATATTAGTAAATGTTATTGCAACACTTTTTCAAGGTTCCAATTATTTATAATTATTTTAAGTTTCAAGGTGAGTAAATCAATAAAAAGATTTATTTTAAGGATTTAGTTGTTTATTTCGACAATAAAATGACAATCACTAAAAATATTAATATTATTACCAGTGGGAGCTATCAAATGCGAAATTCTAAAGTGAAATCGGTAATAATTATTTATAATGCAACCGTACTTTTTATAGAATTCATATGAATTTATAAATAAAGTACAATACAAGTTTTTGAGGTATGCATACTCCAGCTGATCAATACACATACCAATACATATATGTAAATGTACGTGTTAGGAATAGTTTTGTTTAGTTAATGCTTAATATTTATTAATTTACAATATATTGTTTTATGTTTTGTGTTACCCCTGTAATTTTGTTTAACGTCAGTATAAAAAAAAGATATTTGTCAATCATAAAATAAAAAGATAAAAAAGCCTACAAATCTCGTTCTATTATCAACATTAGTGGCATCCCTGATAAAATGCAGAGTTTTAAAGTAGAGCGAGATATTTTAAAGAATGGACTAAAGAAAATATTCAAAGAAATAGATGAATTAATTAAAGATGTATGCGTAGATAAGAGGAGTGCACAACGATTACAGCAACTATTAGATGATAAAGCTGAACGTGTGTACATCTTAGATAATAATATTAAAGAAATCATGGTGTCGGAGAATGTAGCAGTGGAAGACATTACAACAGAACTGATGGAAGAGGAGGCCTTTAGAGAAGATATCATTAAGTATAAAGCAGAATGCGAGTACGTGATACAGAATATGGAAGGAGAAAAAGGTAACCAAGGAGCCAGTTCAAAAATGATGAGAAATTTTAATCTTCCAAAATTAGAAATGAAGAAATTTGACGGCAATATCAAAAATTGGATAAACTTCTGGGGTCAATTTAAGAAGATACATGAGGACCAATATATATCAACAGATGACAAGTTTCAGTACCTGCTCCAGGCAACAGAGGAAGGCTCAAGCGTAAGAAATATGATTGAAAGTTTTCCACATTATCCACCCTATATGATAAATTAGAAACGCAACTTAGGGCATTAGAGTCATTAGGGGTAACAAGGGATAAGTATGCAGCTATGCTTTTCCCTCTTGTAGAATCAGCACTACCTTGCGATTTATTAAAAATTTGGGAACGACACCGCATAGCTAATAATAAACAAAATGTAAATGATTTGCAGGGATTGTTAGATTTTTTAAAAGCAGAGGTTGAGGCTGAAGAACGTACAAAGATTGCCAAAACTAAATTTTTGCAAAATAAGGGGGAGGATGCTATAAATGAAAAAACTGAGCGCAAGTATACAGTAGAGTCATTGTATTCTAAAAGTACAAAAACAAATTTTAAAGAAAAGTTATTTTGTATATTTTGTGATAAAACGCATGCAAGCCAGGACTGTATAAAAGCACAAAATATGACTTTAGACCAGAAAAGGACCACTGCAATTAAAAAAAGAGGTTGCTTTTCTTGCCTAAAATTGAATCATACTTTCAGAACTTGTAAATCTGCTGTGAAATGCATCATTTGTGCAAGAAAACACCATGCTATTATGTGTCCTGACTTGCAAAAGAAAGGAAATGAGAATAAAGACAGAATTGTTGATAAACCAGATGAAAATGTACAATCACTTCAAAACACCTTAACAACTACTATATCCGAGACGCTTTTGCAAACATTAAAGGTTAAACTATATGCAGGTAAAAAATGTAAAATTGTTAGAATATTATTAGATTCAGGTTCTCAAAGGTCTTATGTAACAAAAAAATGTGCAGAAGAAATGAATTTGTTAAAATTAGGAGAGGAAAATATTGTACAAGGTGTGTTTGGTGGAGCTCAAGGCGAATCCAAAATGTGTCAATTATTTAGTGCAAATATTTATAAGTTAGATAAATCTTTTAGCATAAATGTTTCAGTATTGGAACAACAGAGAATATGTAACTACATTCCAAAGCTAAATGATATAAAAATAATTGAGTATTTGAAAAATAAAGATATAATTTTAAGTGACACAAGTAATAATGATTGTGAAATAAGTTTATTAATAGGTGCTGATAATATTGGAAAACTGCTAACAGGTAATATCGAAAACATAGATGATAATCTTTTTGCGGTAGAAACAAAATTGGGTTGGACGGTAATGGGACAACAATATTGCATTAATCAAAATAAATGTATTGCTTCGTACTTTACGGGTTGTTCTATTACTGATCTTTGGAACCTAGATGTATTAGGTATAAAAGAATCTGCCGAATCTAAGAATAAAGAACTACTAGAGGTAGAAACATTAAATTATTTTAGGAATACTACTGTATTAAACAATGAAAATCGGTATGAAATTTATTTACCATGGATACAGGGTTGTCCGAATATATGTTCCAATTATAATTTAGCTGAAAAACGGTTATTTTCAAACACTAGAAGATTAATTACACTTAAAAAGTTTACAGATTACGGTAAAGTGTTTGAAGAATGGGAAAAACTAGGAATAATTGAAGAAGTATCAGAAGAAAATGTTAATGAAAATGTGCACTATTTGGCTCACCAAGCAGTGATTAAGGAGTCAAGTAATACAACCAAGATTCGACCGGTATTTGATGGTTCAGCAAAGGACAAAAATGGTAACTCATTAAATGATTTGTTACAAAAAGGTCCAAATTTGATAGAGTTAACAATTCCGCTTATAATAAAATTTAGAATCCATAAAATTGGGCTTACAGCGGATATTACAAAGGCATTTTTGCAAATAAGTATAATAGATAAAGATAGAGATTATTTGCGATTTTTGTGGTGGCAAAATTACTCTGAAAGAATTATTAAAATATATAGGCACTGTAGAGTTGTTTTTGGTCTTAAACCTAGTCCTTTTATTTTAGCCGCAACCATAAATTTACATTTAGAAAAATTGATTGAAAGTGATAATGAATTTAAAGAAACCGCCAAAGTACTATTAAATGCTTTTTATGTAGATAATTGTGTACATAGTGTTAGAAACAGTATAGAGTTAAAAATGTTTATTAAACAATCCAAAGATTTATTGGAAAAGGCACATTTTGAATTAAGAGGGTGGACATATAATAGTACAAATGAAAATAATTTTGAACCTGGTAATTCTAATCATAATGTTTCAGTGTTAGGTATTTTGTGGGATTTTAAATATGATAACTTTATATGCGATATCCAAAATTTAGGCAAATTCCAAGAAATACCAAGAACCAAACGAGGATTACTATCCGCAGCTCAAAAATTGTTTGATCCCATTGGCTTTACAGCACCTGTTACTTTATTACCAAAGCTTTTATTACAGGAAACTTGGAAGTTAAAACTTTCATGGGATCAAAAATTGCCTGAAGAAATAATCGAACGTTTTGAAAGTTGGTTAAAAAATGTAAAATTTTTAAGCCTATGTGCCATTCCAAGGCACATTGCAGAGCATAGAGACGAACAAGATATAAAGCATATTAGTCTTCATGTTTTTGTAGATGCTAGTAAATTAGCATATGCTAGTTGCATTTTTGTTCGGCTGGAATTCGAAGAAAAGGTTTTAGTCACACTTTTACTAGCAAAAACAAGAATATCACCTGTAAAACCAATCACACTTCCGAGGCTTGAACTTATGGCAGCTCTTATAGGAGCAAGATTAGCTCATACTGTGCAACAAGTTGACTATCTAAGAAATAGACCAGTATTCTTCTGGAGTGATTCGATGGTCACATTAACTTGGATAAAAACAAAAGGTAATTGGAATACGTTTGTAGACAACCGGGTAAAGGAAATAAGAAAGTTGAGCACAGTCGACCAGTGGAATCATGTACCAGGTGTCCTAAATACAGCCGATATTTTATCACGAGGTTGTAACGGAAAACAATTACTAGAAAAACAATGGTGGTGCGGTCCTGATTGGCTTAAAAATAAAAGAGAACTGTGGCCTAATGGAGAAATGATTTTCGATGGAGTAAATGAAGAAGTAAAGAAGGAAAGAAAAGTAGTAAATACAAATGTGGTAGAAAATAAAATGCAATTCTCACAGAATCTAGGTTATTTTTCAAAATATTCAAAGATAAAGAGAATGTTAGCTTGGATATTGAGATTTTATTTTAACAGTAAAAATAGGATAAATCAAAACAGAAGAAATGAATTGACTTCTGAAGAATTAGAAAGGGCAGAAAATTGCTTATTTAGGATGATACAAGAGGAAAGTATCACAAATGAATTGGATAGATTTAAAAGGTTTCAGATTTTTCAGGATCAAAACGGAATTTTAAAATTAAAAACAAGATTGGTGTATGGTGATTTTCCAGAAGAATTTAAATATCCTATAATTTTGCCGGATAAACATGATATCGTTAGGAAACTTATTATGGAGGAACATATATCGCATTGTCATGCAGGCCCAAAAATATTATTGGGTATTCTTAGGGAAAGGTTTTGGATACTTAGAGCTAAGAAAGTAGTTCATGATATTATATCGAAATGTGTTGTTTGTAGGAAACAAAATGTTAAATCGGTCCAAACGCCATTTGCACCATTACCGGAAAACCGAATTAAGAATGCAGGTGTTTTTGAAGTGATTGGAGTAGATTTAGCAGGTCCTTTGTATTTGAAAGATAGTAGTAAAGTTTGGATTGTACTGTTTACTTGTGCGATTTATAGAGCGGTTCATTTAGAACTAGTGAAATCTTTATCAACAGAAGCATTTTTATATGCCTTAAGACGATTTATAAGTAGAAGGGGAAGACCACAAATAATTTATTCAGATAACGGTACTAATTTTCATGGGACTGATAATTATTTTGCGAAATTAAATTGGGATGAAATTGAAATATTTTCAGGAATTAAAAGAATAAAATGGCTTTTCAATACACCATCCGCTGCTTGGTGGGGTGGGTGGTGGGAGAGGTTAATAAGATTAATAAAAGAACTTTTGCGTCGTAACTTGGGTAAAGCATCTTTGTATTACGTAGAGCTTTATACCATTCTATGTGATGTTGAATCGGTCATAAATCAAAGACCGCTAACATACGTGTCAGAGGATGATTGGGAAATTTTAAGTCCGTCCAAATTTATAAAACCACTACAGGGTGCGTCGACTGAAGTTGTTGATTTAGACCTTATTGATACACAAAATTTAAGGGGTAGATTTCGTTATATGCAAACGTTAAGGGAATCTCTAAGAAAACGATTTAAAAGCGAATACCTCGCAGAACTGGTGAACGTTGGTCAAAGGTTAACTCAGTCTCTGAAGGTCGATGACGTAGTATTGGTCGGGAATGACAGTACGAAAAGAACGGAATGGCCATTGGGTAGAATAGTTGAAATTTACAATGGAAAGGATAATGTAACTAGAGTAGCCAAAGTAAAAACTGCCACTGGGTACATGGTTCGACCATACCAACGACTCTATCCACTTGAGATGTCGAAAAAGGAAAAAGGTAGAGTAGTAGAGCAGACAACGAAAAAGAAAACAGAAGAAAAGGCGAGGAAAGAAGTAATAGACAATGGCAATCTGAATGAAGAGAGAAGGTCTCGGTATGGAAGAATTCTAAAACAACCCGAGAGGTTGAAAATTTAAATCCCGGGGCCGGAGGATGTTAGGAATAGTTTTGTTTAGTTAATGCTTAATATTTATTAATTTACAATATATTGTTTTATGTTTTGTGTTACCCCTGTAATTTTGTTTAACGTCAGTATAAAAAAAAGATATTTGTCAATCATAAAATAAAAAGATAAAAAAGCCTACAAATCTCGTTCTATTATCAACAGTACGTTTGAGTTGATTTTTGCTACTTATATTTTCATTGAGTTTATTTAAAATGCTTAACTTGTATTTTAACTTGCTTGAAATTACATGTTATAGCAGAACTACGATTTCCATTTTTTACTGCATTTAATGATCAATTTCTGGGTCTTGTTTTTATGGGTCGATCATTAAGAGGCATGAGGTGACAAAACTGAAAAAAAATATAGAAGAATTTTTATATTTTCTACAGAACCTTAATTATTTCATACAATCCTGATTCATGAGGTATTTACCACGTATAAAATTACTCCATGCCAACATGGGTTCTATCAAGGATGCTCAACTGCTACAAATCTTTATATCAGGAATACTTGATCTCTCAAAGCTGGTCACCAGGTTGATACTAAATATACACATTTTTCTAAACCTTTGACGTTATTTGCCATGAATTATCTTAATTGATTCATTTCTTACCTAAGTCATCGCCTTCTGCATGTTACTGTGCAATATTATGTCTAATGAAGTATCAGCGACTTCCGAAGTGCTACAGGAATCTCACATCTTATTGTTATTATTTTTAAATGACGTAACAGCTTGTTTTTAAAAAAATGACTTGCAAACGGCTTTGTTGACATGTCAGCTTTACAATCGGACCTCGACAGGTTCACTAAATCATCTGTAACCAAATTTTAATAAATGTGCTACAATTCACTTTACAATATTTCCAAAACCTATTTAGAATTCCTTCAAATTTGGTGGTGTTTAATTTATTTACTTAGTGTTTTCTGTGTAATCTTGTGTCTCATTTTTAAGGGTGTTATACAATTCTACCTTTTCTTTTTTTTTTGTATACCTACTACTTGCAATTTTTTTCTGTAATGTATAAGTGCTGTTTTTCTTCGTTTTTATACATAGCGAAGCGTAGAATAATGTTAGGAAAAAGGGCGGCATTCCTAATATTTGAATTTGTGAAATCCACAGCAAAATTATTGATATACGTTTTTTGACCTCATTTTATTACCTGTTTTAAATATACATGCATTTTAAAACACCCTGTATATAGACAATTTTATGCTAAGTTAGCTTAGTCCGATATATGAGATCTCTTTGTAGTACACAATTTAGTGCCATTTAAATTAAAAAGATTTAATTTTATTTTAAAGTTCGGCAAGCGGCCGCCAGAGCTAACAAGAGGAACAAATGGTCGACGTCAGACACAGAAGAATCAATAAAGAGCGACGGTTCGGATTTTGAGGTGTCCGATGTGGAAAGTGAAATTTCGGAAGAACATTCAAACGATTCGAACGCGAGCAGCGACTTCAATCCGTTCCAATCGGGAAGCGATTCGGACGACGATCCTTGGAATAGAAAGAAGAAAGGCAAAAAACAGAAGAAGAGCCCTAAGAAAAAGACATCAACGCAAGATAAGATTTCGATGTTGTTAAGCCGGAAGACAGTAAAAGCTTCTAAACCGAACGGTAGTAGTTTTCCTGCTCCCGCTGCACCTCCAATGGACGCCATTGAAAGAGCGTGCAGTATGAAGGAAGAGTTGCTTGTAGCTATCGAAAAATTGGGTGACAAACTACCTCCAAATACTCTGGATCAGCTCATAGACGAATTGGGTGGGCCCGAAAATGTTGCTGAAATGACTGGACGAAAAGGTAATTAAATGAACAAATTGAATTAATTAAAAATTAAACATAGTTCTAATCTAATGTAATTTTACGAGGGATGTCTGTTTAGTTTTGCATACATGACAAATATCTATTAAAAATAAACCTCTTTATTTAGTTAACCTAAATCCAAAGTTTCAGTAGGACACGTATAGTGTTGTAGCTACATTGATTTATTAAAGTTCACAAGTTATTCAAACTATGAAATTAAATCGAGAAAATTTTTCACACAGTTTTTTTTTACAACTTTTGAAGAAAATTATCTCGACAAGAATGCCTCGCTGAATTGGTTTCAGTTTTCGGCAACAAAACATCACATCAGTCGACAATTTCTCATTCATATGGAGAATTCAAACATGGACGGATGAGTCTTTGTGACGATCCAAGGACAGGCACATAAAAAACGGCAGTCACCCAGGATAACGTCGATGCTGTTAGCAACCTCATCAAGGAAGAGTTACATGTGACATCTCGCGAGTTTGTGGCATCATTGGGGATTTCAAAGACCTCAATTCAAAAAAATTTGCATGAAGAATTGTGTGTAAAAAAAATTGTTTTCTGTTGGATATGGCATCTGTTGACCAAAATACAGAAAGAAGCTAGGGTCAATTGATGTTGAAAAACTCTAGACTGATTTAACGGAGGAAACTAAAAAACTTAGCAGCATCTTCAGTAGTGATGAATCATAGATTTACTCATATATTGTCTGTTCCAATTTGAAGAAAATCTGACAAAAGTCATCCGTTCTTGAAGTGTGTCCAAAAATATGGTCTTGACATTATTTGTCTGAAAAGCAGGTCATGTAGCATCAATCTCTCTGCAAGATCAAAGAACTGTTACTGCCGATTGATGCACAACCATTTTTTATAGAAAAAAATGTCTAATTGTAAGACCATCCTCCATATGGTCCTGACTTAAGTCCCAACGATTTTTTAACCTTTCTGAAAATCAAGAACAGACTGTGTGGTCACGGATTCCCGTCGACGAGCAGTTAAAGCCTTCAAAAATCGCAATTTTGAGTGTACCACCCAAGGAGTGAAATAACAGCTTCCAGAGTTGGTGGAAGCGAAAGCAAAAGTTCATTAATCTTTGAGGAGAATACTTCGAATAACAGAGTCCTTAAAATCTATCTATAGTGTTTTATTCCAGCTCTATGTGCAAAATTAAAAAGAGAACCCTCATATTATAAGGTATGGAATATGATTATTAGAATTTATTAATTACTGAAGTACAAATGAAACTGTTAGAATGATGATCATTTTTTGAATAGGTAGGGTAGTTTCTACAGAAGATGGAGGTATACAATACGAGAGTAGATCTGAAAATGACGTTCCTCTGGAAACTTTAAATCTCACTGAGAAGCAAAGGTTCATGGATGGGGAGAAAAATGTCGCCATCATTTCTGAAGCTGCTTCAAGTGGTAAGTAGTTTTTCAGGTTGTTTGCTGCTTTGTAACTGTTTAATAACTTTTTTAACTTATTTCACTTTATTATAAAACAATATGCTTGTTACTAATTTTACAGAAATACTTTATATTGTCAAACTATTTATGAAGTTTATCACCCATAGGCACTGCAGTATAATGTCTACAGATACAAATGAACTATATTGAGATATGGAAATATCCTGTGTTGAACCAAAAAAAAAAAAAAATACTGAAATCTGTGGTCGGTTCAGGTTTATAAAAAGTATAGAATTTTTTTATTAATTTGGAAAAATAAATAAAAATAACTAATGATAACTAATTCTTCTGATGTCGTTCTGTCTTAGTGCCTGCTTCGTCTGCACCCCTCTTTCTTTCCTGGAAATCTCTGCTCCCTGCTTTTTAAACACTGACATAATCTACTGCTCTTCTGGTCTTCCACTCTGCTAATCCATTATTTTTTGAATTGATAGTTTCCACAATATAATTGTTTTTACCTTTTTTATTTAACTATTGAAATCATTAACACGCCTATTCCTATGAATTCCCTTTGATCATTTTCTTAATTAAATTTTTACATCCCAAAATATAATATCTTCTGATAATCAATTCAAATCCTCCTGATAATCAATTCAAATCCTCCTGACAATCCTATTGATGTTAATTTACTATATTTGACATTTCATAACATTCAATGTAAATACATAGAAATTTCCATATCAATATATTGTTTATCCGAATTAAATATTTCTAGTCCATGAGTCCAAAATATATTTTTTTAAATTGTCACTCCTTGTAAATAAAAGGGCAAATAAATTAATTTAATGCTGTTTTTGATCTAGTAGTGATTATTTGCAAATCTATTTCCTATAAAATTTGATTTTTGTAACTTAAATACTTTTACGCTGGTTTTTTGGTAACTCAATTTATTTCAACTCAACTTTTACAATTCAACTATATAGAATAGAATTTATTATTAGCATTACATATACATATCTATAATACATCAAAGGTAAAGTTTATCAATAACCTCTAAAGCTAACAACATCAGTGCACAATGGTATTAAGAATACTGTGTGTGCACCCTGTCTTAAGTATACTTTGTCAATATTGAGTAGGAATTACCTTCTAGAACCACTTCACACTCCATTCACACAACACATAAATGCTGGATTCTCGGGGAAAGTGAATTCACATTCATTCAGACCCATGTTGCAAAATTATTATGATGTATTAGGTCTACGTTTAATGTCACTTTTAAGCTATTTTGTAGAAATTAACTTCAAATATTCACATTCATTCACCCATCGCATTCACGTAACTTTTTGTTTACAATAATTGCAATAAAAAGTTTTAAGGTGAAATATAAAACCAAAATGCTTGAAATGAATAGTTCATCAAATGGCTTCCCTCGTCTTTAAAATCTTCAAGAATTCTGAAGATCGTCTAACTCTTGCAATTCATTTATTACCAAACCAACGGCTCATCTTCTATGTCTTGAACTATTTTATTTAAACGTTTGTTAGGTTTTTTGTTAAAAATTCAACTCTCCAATAATTACAAATCAAAACTTTGCTGTTTTACTTCGAATTACACCTGTTACACTTTATAAAACTATATTCAAACAAAAAGACAACCACACTAATAAGTAATCACAGAATGTGTGAAGACTCGCCAGACGACATAACCTTAAAAGGTGGTTTTCATCTGAAATATCCAACATCCACATGATAAAACCATAGCTCTCAGATTAAACCCATCTGAACTTGTCACATAATATTTCATCTGAAGTGAACACTCGTCGATTGGTCGAGAATACGATTTGTGCAAATTTCATGTGAATTCTCCAAAGAGTGAACAATTCACACAGCACTGTATGGTGATGAAAGACATTAAACTTCTTCTTTTATTCGTACGTTTCCTATAATAGCCGCAAGGGGCTGGGTAACAAAACTTTACCTACGACAACTATAGAAAGCAGACAAAACAATCTGTAGGCGCAGTAATATAAAAAAAAAAATAACGGGAATGTATTATACAAGTATTTACACGCACATTTACCTGCACAAGTATTGTATGCATATTGTAAAGCAATTACACACTCATGGAATTTATCCATTTACAAAATTTGTAAGAAAAAACCTTAAAAATCTGAGAATTTGCCTATCAATCAACATTTTGTGGATTCCCTGGTTATATAATTCTTTTTTAATTTATTTCAAATATAAGAATAGACAAGAAATGTTTTGTTTTTCTCTTTCCAAATTGACTTGAAAATTGTCACTTAAATGTCGACTACTGTTTGCACTTACAATGGGCTATGTTATGTAGGTATATCTCTTCAAAGCGACAGGAGGGTAAAAAATCAACGACGAAGAGTACACATCACATTAGAGTTGCCGTGGTCCGCTGATAGGGCCATCCAACAATTCGGAAGAACACACAGGAGTAATCAAGTGAATGCTCCCGAATATATATTCCTTATTTCCAATCTAGCAGGAGAGAGAAGGTTCGCATCCATTGTCGCCAAAAGGTAAGAAGATTGCATATTTTTCATTTCTACCAGAATTCCAACAGTGTACTATTAAATAAACTTGCATTATAGTTCAGTGTTTGATGCTCAAAATAGACTATTACCTTAGGCCCGTATTTATATACAGATCTCAACTGAGTTGAACTTGGCAGAGTCGCTTACGTTTTAAAAAAAAAAATACGTGTGGCACTCGGGGACTGCCGCGGTAAAGCTATTGAATAGCATTTTTATCAACTTATGCAATTATAATTATTTATTTATTTTATTTATGCAGTATTTTTTTTTTCTTTGATATTAATTCAGGTGTTTACTCTGATATTAATTCAAGTTACACTTTTTGAGCGTGGTGACCGATAAGAAAACAATTTTTTTCTTTTATTGAATGAAAGTTAACATTGTTTAAAATATTTTTAATTTCTTACAATACATGTAGGTTATTCAGTTATTTTTATTATTGACACAATATTATTGTTTTATTATTTCACAGTCTTGGTAATTGAAAATGTTTAGTTTTTAAAAAGTATATACTTATTCAGTGATTTTCCACACTCGTGTGATAGTCGCACTCGGCTTGTACCTCGTGAACGAAGTCTCCACTGGTAGCTTGCATTTTTAAAATTAGCTGAGCTTGAATGAACCTCGTTATAATGTCATAATACAATATATGACAACCGCCTATAATAAAACAGCAGTCTTCTGCGTATCCTGAATGTGTATCCCTGGAGTGGATGTTATTTTGGAACTTTCAACTGGTCCGAGTGAGCTAACTGATTCTTTAGCAATAAACTGTGATTCCAAAAATAATATTCACTGACACTGACAGCAGCAAGCAAAATATCAGGTGCGTTTTAATCATCCGCTTCTGCTTCCGAAATTGTCGGTTCAGTCGTTCTAACCTGTCAGATTAAAACAAGAAAACCGACAATTCCGAAGTAGAAGCGGATGATTAAAATGCACCTTTTAAAAATATTGCGCCAAGATGTAGGCAACACGTAATAAGGGTTCAAAATGGCGGAGTTTTCTATCTTCTTTTAAAAGGCACTCAGAAAGCTGCGCAGTGCGACCATTCTCCGTATAGTAAATGAAAATCAAAGTATGTGGCCTGTTGTCATTGACAGGATCAATGATACATACATAGTTATATAGATTGTTCAAAGCAGGTCGTTTGCGAGTGGCCATATTGCTCACACTCCACTACAAACTAAAAAGGGTGATATCTCAAGTAATTTTTAACCTGCAGAAATAAAAAAAAAAAACGTACATTTTTCAGCTCTTGTATTTATTGCATATCTTCTTTAGTTTTTGAGTTGTCAAATAAACTTGTTTGAAATTTTAAAAAATCATTTCAAAACCGAATCAAATTTTAATTGCTGTGGATAAGACATTGGCTTCTTCAATGTTTTTCTATTATTTAAAGTTGAAATCTTCCAATTCAGTTTTTGACAAACAAACCATCACTTTCAACGAAACATAACCGGTTTTTATTACATCTACGAATATGAAAAAAATACGAATCGTTTTGTTTTTTAAAAAGATTTCATTTATTTCTTATGTTTTTATTTTTATAAAATGTACGATTTTTGAGTCATTCGTGAAAAATCACTGTAAAACCTGCAGAATGAAAAATTAACTCGAAAATATTCAATTATCGATATCTGCAGTTTTCTTGAGTTTATTAATTTCCACCACTGAGGAGGGACGTCATTCACCCTCATGGTGAAAGCGCACATCATCGGCACTATATAACTTTTCTTCCTTGAGCCATTCCTTACTTACTGTCCAAATTAGTTCGAAAGAATTCAGAGCGAAAACAGTCAAACACAGGACTATGTAAAAAATAAATCAACAGAATATTTAGATACATAATTGAAATAATTTGTTACAGATTGGAAAGTTTGGGTGCCCTGACTCACGGCGACCGTCGCGCGACAGAAACGCGCGATCTCAGTCAGTTCAATATCGACAACAAATACGGTCGCTCTGCCCTCGAAGCTACAATGAAGGCGGTCATGGGTTATGAGCAACCAGTCGTGCCACCTCCACGTGACTACAAGGGCGACTTCTTTAAAGACGTGGCTGCCGCTCTAATTGGAGTAGGGATGATTGTAAATAGCGAGAATATGCCGGGAGTGCTTTCCTTGGACAAGGACTATAATAATATGTCTAAGTTCCTCAATCGTATATTGGGTATGCCCGTCGAATTACAAAATAGGCTTTTTAAGTAAGTTGTCTTTCTTATCTTTATTTAAAACATTTCTAATGCATTCAACAATAACATTATAACATAATAGTGTTTAAAAAAGTTTAAATAAATATATTCTAGGAGCAGGCAAAAATACTGTAAAATCATAAAATTCGTGATGACTTTATCAGTTTTCATACTAATGATTTCAGAAGAAGCTTAAAGGTTCTTTTCAAACACTAAAAATTTCTCATGAGTTTTCCTCTAAAGATTTGTCGTTATTTAACATTGAAATGTTCCATTCAGTTTTAGGCGAACAAACAGTCATAACTCGGCACTTTTCACATGTACTGGTAGTTTATTAAATGCTTGTACATCTTTTACAAATATAATTTTTTTTTCATTGTGGAATGTTCTATTATCAATAACTTTTGCCGTGGTTCCGATATCTACTTTGATTCATTTACATATTTTAAAAATATAATTAGAACAATACTGTATCAGTCTCAGACTTAAAACTTATTTGTTTATTGTATTTTAACTTTTTTTTAATTTTTTTTTTTTTTTTTTTAAATATTTTTTTTTAATCTTTACATTTTATTATATTTTTATTCTTCATATTCATTACCTATTAAATTGTTCTGTAATTGGGATTTTAATGTTGAACAATAAACAGGTTTTTTTCCGAGTCTTGCATTATATGTGTGGATTATAAAATGTTATTTGGCTTCAATTACCAAGTACACAAGCGCTGTTACTTTTTATTTTTAAAAATAAAATTTGCGTTATAATCTTTGACTGAAAGTCAGCTCAATGTATTAAAGTGATTATATTTTATTTTGAATGTATAAATACTGTCCATTGTGAATGACGAAATTGCACAGTTCATAGGATTTTTATAAATGAATAAGTTAGAAACAGAGTGGTTTATGTTTTTATTATCTTCAATATTTCAAAGTTTTCAGAGATTATTGAAATATTTTTTGCTGACATAATCAGTTGATGCTCCCTCCTAACATATATTTTAAAAATATATTCTTTTAAACATGCAGTAATGGGGAATTCTATTTTTTTTTTTTTTATTGATTTTAGAAATTGATAGATATTTACATATAAATATAGATTTTAGTCATGGTTTTTAAACTCTAAACCGTTATGTTTCTAGTTTATGTTGCAACGTTGCCTAGTAATTGACAACAGTCGTGGAGGGCCTTTACACCAATAACTAAAACGGTGTCATTAAGAAATGTTATACAAACTTTTAAATTATGATTGTTATTAATGAAATAAAATTTATAGATATTTTACTGACACATTGGCTGCTATCATCACATCAGCAAAGAGATCAGGAAGGTTTGATTTAGGTGAGTATTCATTAAACTCTTTGAAACAATTTTTATTTGTCCAAAAAGTTGTTTTAGTTATTTAAATAAATTTATCACAATCTACATTTAAGATATATATATTTTTTATGTATTTTAGGTATCCTGGATCTTGGCGCTGGCGGAGAACTGGTGAAACGAGTTCGTACGGTGATGTTCCTAAGAAAACACGCGACCGGTATTGCCCCTACGGAATTGCACACTGTGCACGTTGAACGGGGCATGTCGTGGCCTGAAGCCTTAGAAAAATTCTCGGAACTTTTACGTGAAAACGAAGGTATGTGCAGACTAGTCAGGAGAATAACAAAAAAGTTTCATGAAATTGCTGCACACTATTAAAAGAAATTATGATGATCGAGTCATTATCTTAATTTTGGTTTTTACAACGTTTGAATCGATCATCAAAACAATAGACGATAGAAATATATAATTTAGATTTATAAATTTCATTCTCAAGCAAAATGAATATCGAAAATAAAACTCTACAGAAGAGCAATTAAATTTCAGTCCAGAAAACCCCGGTGGTGTATTTAAGGAAGTTACGATACAGACCAAGTAAATGGAATCACTGAGGCCAAGGGGAAAATTGTAGTCAGCTTAACTAAGCATCACTATCCCAATGTTCGTTTACCAAAATCCACAATTATCGTTTGTTCTGCAATAATTATGTGTTTTAAAAACAAAGACAGATCTACTTATTAGCTACAATATGGTACAAGTGGAATGAGCAGTGTCGATCGTCTGAAAAAATAATAAATTTCTTCAAACCAATTTGTAAATTGTAAAATGGAGATTTAAGTTAATAGCGAATTAACCTCCTATACATTTTTCTTTAATAAACAGGATTAGCGACTACTATTTCGGATAAAAATGGCGTCCAAGGTGAAAGGCTGTTATAACTTATAATCCTCTTACTGCCATATGCACCATTCTTCTGTTAATAGTTATCAGAGAGTTAACTATATAACTGACTGTTAAATTGACAATTTTGTATTCACCATTACAAAATACGACTAACAATCTGTTAAAGGCGTTGTTAATGTAACAAATCAAATTTGGCCTGTTAATTTTACTTATCAGAGTGTTTTAATTTTGATTGTTTATTTTGAAGGGCTAGATAAGGTTTTATAAGATATGGACAGTAATATATACGCAACAGACTGATTTCTAAATGAATATGGTAAATAGATGGTGCATAGCAAATTCTGTTAACATACTGTTATTTTTAATACTACTGTTAGATAACAGAGGACTTAACTGGACAATGGTGCATATGGCCGTTAGATGTACCAGCCCTGTCCCGAAAGTTGCACATTGTCAATGAACATGTGGAGCTTTGCGGTCCTACAGTTAAACAAATATTCATTGGCGCGTACTATATCTTTTTTTACGATCACTATCAAAAGTAGGCTTTTGTGCTTTGAAATCCAACCGTAAAGTTGACGTTTTCCGCGAACTGACATTAAGTGATAGCTTTGTCGCACGTCGACCAACAAAAAAAACAGCTTTGTTGCTCACCTAATTTAAATTAACTATAATATATTTCTTTTTAATAAATGATTTCAAGTTTTTTGTAAGTAGTTATATGGTTTTTTGTTATATTTTCCAAGTTAACATGGGCTTTGAATGCCAACTGCTTTTTTTATGATTAGCGTAGGTATAGGGAACACATTATTTCACTAACGATACATTTTCAGTTTTTATATCTATTTCTTTAAAAAGTTTGATTATGGAACAAATCTGGTGTGCACTTTGAGCTAAAAGTTCGTTACCGCGCTCCGCTACGCGTCGCGTGGGCAACTTTCTGTCTCAAGTGGCAAAGCATAACTTTTCCCTCTTAATACACAAATAGCTATTTAGGATTAGATGATTTAATTTTTATAACGTATTTAACAATTTTAAATAGTTTTAAGATAACTAATGGTACATTTCCACACCACCCGAGAAATTCAAGGAATTGTTCACATTTCGAACATTTGTTCTAATTTCGAACTTTTGCTTTTTGACACTCAAAATTGTGATTTTTCGAGTTGAAGCTCTTCTTCCTTTAAACCCCGATTCACTATCAATATGTGTTATAATTAATTCCTATTTTTCATCAGTATTCTGTAATGATATTTTACCATACATTCGCACTAAGCTTGAGTACTGTTCAACTATCTGGGGCCTAATTCCTGACGGCGTTCGTCATCGGCTCGCATGCGGTGACGTATGAGAGTAAAAAAATTAGGCATTCCAAAGACCTGTCCAAATGGCTACCAGTGGGGACTGACAGTTTAGATATGGCAACCCTGCTGTCATGTTGTCATTTACAGGGTCAATGATACATAAAGTTATATAGATTGCTCAAAGCTGGTCGTTTGAGAGCGGCCATATTGCCTGGCAAATATTTATTAATTTGAATCGGTTTAGCAAAAATGTGTTTTAAAACCAATTTTCAGCCTTTAGGTATTAAAAAAAAATAATTGCTTACATTTTTACTTCAAGGTATAAGCTTGTTTATTTTGAAAAATATGGATGATCAATCTATGTAACTCTATTTCATTGACCTTGTCAAATCACCAGGCCTACCTGTGGTGCGTTTGATTTGATCATCGGAGATCTCCGAGCGCTTCAAAAGTGTTTGAATTGACACTCCGAGAGATCCCTAAAGTGTTTGTTTCGCTTTGGAGCGAGAACATAGAGCGAGCTCGATGTTCTCAGAGCAGAAAGATCGAGAAGAGGGAGAAATTTGTCTTTGTCTCTACCTATCTCTTTTTAATTAACAAACAAATTTGAATCTCAAAATTAAAGACCAGACAAGAAGTCAACAAATTACTTAGCCGCTTTTGTCTTACATTTTTTCTGTCTAGATCTAATCACCAGTAATCACAGTCATGGAGTAGGAGAGCGAAGCGGGCAATTGTGGTAAATGCTGCATTTCAGGACCATTACCCTTTATTATTAAAAGTTTTTCCATTTTCTTTACTTTTTGCTCACTATTTTAACATACAAACCAGAAACAAGAATCACAAAAAAAGCGAGGTTATGTTTTTTACTCTGTTTTATTTGATTTGATTCAATGCTCTATTGTGACGTCATCACTTCTCGGTCTCCTCGACGCTCGCTCGATCGAGTTTCAAATCAAACGCCCCTAGGGTTGCCATAATTTTGCCATATTATAACCTGTCAAAACCCACTGGTAGCCATTCAGTTTGGAATGCTTAATGGTATTCTTGAAAGCCTTTACCGCATGCGTCGCTTAGCGAATGATTTACAAGGAACGGTCTTGACCATTGGACAACCTTATCTCGCATGCGGTAACTATGTGTATCCAAGCATGTTACTTGTCACTGTCACATAGATTTAATATAAAATACAATTGAATCGGTGAGTTCGACAACCGTACAAGTCCAATATTTGAGATTTTAAAGAAGATAGCCATTTTGTTTAAAACTTGTCTCTTCATCGATTTAACTTAAAAACCGTACTAGATACCTAGCCGTTAACGTAGTACAGCTGATTACACCCGTAAAATTAAGCGAAAAACCGTACATATTCGTGACTTTCTAAAAGGTTTTTATTGTTTTTCTCGGAAGGCTGATTTTGGACATGTACGGTTTTCAAACTCACCGATTCAATTATTCTTCCTAGTTTACTTTTTTAATGAATTTTTTATAATTACCAAGTGTTCATTAGTCATTATGTCAATAACTTTACCCAGTTATTGTATTTACTAGTGTACATTTTTTATAAAATGGACGATATAGAGGAATTTGACTTTATTCAATTAATACAAAATGTTAAAGAGGCACAATTAGATGCAGAACTACAACATAGGTTAATTTTTTAAATTTTTTAGCCGATTATACAATTTTTGTTACAATGTTCTGAAATGTTATTGGTTGAAAACTATTGAACTGCTGTAATAATCAAAGACTCTTCGCTACACCATGCGGCACGACACTACCCTAACGAAGGATAGTCAAGAATATAACTTTTCCGTCGCATGCGGTGGCGACTATGCGTCTCTAACGGAATACGAAGTTCAGCGCATAGTTTCAGGAATCTGGCCCCTGGTATCCCTACTAGAATATTCACAAGATTAGTGTTAAATCTGTTCAAAGAAAGTTTTTGAAATATTAAGCTTTCAAAGGAAATAGTGTCTACCCTCCAAGAGGAGTAGATTATCAGCTACTTTTGGAAAGTTTTAACATGGATAGCCTTGAATTTCTGAGTATTCTAGCTTCTTTGTCTTCTTTATACAAAATCACGAATGGATTAGATTGTCCTGATATTTTAGTTAAAATTAATTTAAATGTTCCCCAGTATAATAACAGACATCATTTAACTTTTTATTGTTACATCTGGAACAAATATTCTATTAAGCTCACCTCTCAATGTCATGTGTAATAACTTTAACTTATATTGTAATTCATCAGATATCTTCACAGATAGTTTGGGAAGTATTAAAGCAGTTGCTTGTACCAATTAAGGCAATACTTAAAAACTTCTTTTTTGTTACCTTCTATATTTATTTATTTATTTTGAATTCACTGTTTTACATAATATCCATATATATTTGTCATCTTTACTATATTATTAGTGATTTTTGGGTTGCTCTATAAAGGGATTTATATCTGTTGAGCAATAAAGGCTATTATTATTATCTATTCATGAATTATATATAAATAAAAAGTTCAGGGTTGACACGTTTTACTGGTTGAGGTTCTCACGAGATATTTCTAATTTAAAAGACAACTTAAGAGGATTATCCATGTACTAAGATTGACTTAAAAGTAATTCCAAGTTTCCAGGCTTTTTTTCAATATTTTGTTATGAAATTTGGCATGCATATTTATGGAGTCGTGCATAATGGTGCAAATTTTGATATATATGATATATGTACCTCTGTGAATAATGTTTAACCAGTTCATTTTTAAAAGAAGCTGCAGGACCCCAATCTTTAAAAATGACGATAAGTCTAAAGTTAAACTGTTTGAGCTATTACCAACAAAATTTCTTTCATGGCATTGTAAAAATATAATTATTAATGAACTATAAATATGAAAACAATTTGAATGACGTCAGTTTGCATACTGTCGGGACTAAGGTATAGTTAAACTGATATAATTTAGAAGCGGAAAATGTTAAATTTTTTTTTTTTTTTTTTTTTTTTTTTTTTTTTTTTTTCGATTTCAGTAAGATATTTGATCTTGTACATCTTGGGAAGTTTGCCAAGAAATTAAAGCATCTATGGTTTTAATACTTACATTATTTATGACAAATACAATGTACTCTAATCTGACGACTTTGTCTATTACTAAGTTACATTTTAAAAATGTTTTTTTAATTTTACAGGATTTTGGCTGTCTCATCAAATTAGGAACAACAAACATACTGCGATCTTGGCCGTCGCCACAGATTCAGGCGGTGGCATAGGCGGTGGTGGAGGAGGAGGTACGAAAGGGAAAAAAGACGGTAAGAAAGAGAGCAAGAAGGATCAAATGTTTTCCGTGTACAGGCCTAATACAGGTTTGCAGTTCAGACAAGAAAGTTTGGCAGAACTGGAAAAGAAGTACAAAAAGGTAAATTCTATTACTTGTTTATATTTAGAAATGCACTAAAATAATAATCTGTTTTAGGTGGAATCGGGAGAAGCAGAAAAATCATGGTCTCAGCAATATGACGCATCTGTAAATACATGTTCGCATGCTTATTGGCGCGGCAACTGCAGAAACGTATCGATAGGACACGATTGCGAAGTCGGACTTCGAAGGCGTACTTACAATGTCGTTTCTGGTTCGGTTTTGTCCGTTTGGAGTCGAGTCGAAGGGGTTTTGGCTAGCAAGACTGGTTCTCAAAATAAAATGCAGGTCATTCGTCTGAGAACCAAGGATGACATCAAGATTGTAGGTATGTTCCAATAAATATTATGTATGTACATATTTTATTTATATAGTGAAGCTTGTCGGATTTAATATTTGAATAATTGCTGTCAACGTGTCATAGCTGTAGCTTTAGCTAAATCTCGCCCATTGTACTAACATTAATTTTATAATAAAGTCGTTTATTTTTATAATTATAGTGCATAATTCCTTATCATGTAACGTTTCAGTCCTGTCCGGTGTTTCTCAAGGTTTTCATATTGGCCCCTAGTGTTTTCCTTATTTTTAAATGAGGTTACGTTTTTAATAGCCATTTCCTTCTTTCCACATATTATTTGAACATTTTTATATGCATTTATTTATATAGTTAAAAGATCTGATGTTCAAAAAACAACTTTGTTTGGTTCATTTTTTATCTCATCACTAATGCACTGCACCCTGTATATAGATGCTGATATATAATTTTTTTAGGTACACTCATTCCAAAAAATTGCGTTGATGACCTTATAAAAGCTCTATCTTCCGACGCGGAGAAAACTGAAGAAAAAACATTTGAAGATTAGAGAGACTGAACCTGAAAGGTGACGTTTGAAATAATTTTCTCAACCAGCTGATGTCGTACATTTTGAATTTTGTTTCTCGTTTTTTTTTATTATTATTATTTCGTCCTTAACTTATATATATTTTTTCGTTAAAATTTTGAAATGTACGATATCACTCATCCTATCGACGTTTAGGAAATCAATACAGGGCAAAAACTAGTATTTTGAGGCACTACAAAATGATCGCAATGTAGTGAGTGGTAAAGTGTGGATTTATTTGTTCGTAGTACCCTATGGGCTCATATAAATTAAATCGGCTCATTTTCATATATTTTGGTGATTTCCAAAAGCTACCTTTTTTAACCATCCCCCTAGAAGTAACAAAAAATTATTAGTGAGACTTTTTTAATAAATTAAATCTGTTTTTATGGATTTATTTTGAAATAAAAATTTAGAAAATTATTTACTTTTTTTATTTTAAAATTAGATTTTAAATTGAATATAAAATTTAGTTTAAGAGACAATGCAAACATTTTAAGGTCTTTATTCAGTAGATATATTATGGAGCAAAAAATTAGCAAAATAATTTAATGGCAAATAGATTCTCGACAAACTCAAAAATAAATCTGCCCATATGTCTTAAAGTATGTTAAACATTTTGGTTAATTATATAAAAAAAAATACAATAGTTTCATTTAGTCAGAAGACAGATATTTATCATTTTCTACACCCACATGTATACTATTTTTTTATTGCACAACTACAGAATTAATATCTCAGTCTACTGAACTTATATAGTTTCATATCCATTCTAGAGTATATTATATGAAATCTACCAATCACAGTTTATGTTTAGTACCTGTCCTGCTATTTTTTTTTTAATTAGTGATAATTCTGTCAAACTAATTGTTAGTAAATTTTTTAGTTATTAAGGTAAAATATTATTAACACATTGAGTACGGCAGTAATCTATAAGGTGTTTCGACTCTTCAGATAAAAGTAACTTTGTTCCGGGCACCGATGCACTCAAGAGTGTTTGTACAAATGAAGGAAACGATCCAACTCAAATGTAACAAAGATACATAATATAAATTAAAAATAACTCGAAAGCCATTTTACGAGTTATTTTACTTATATAATTGATTAGAGTAAAGGGCTTTGAGAGCTGCCTGGCTCTTCGAAAATAAATTTAGAGTCTTATTTGCAGGGATAAAATTTATCAACTCTCTCGCTCCCAATTCTATAGCGATCATATCTGCCCCGTTTTGTTCCATTGCAATTCTTTGAAATAATTACCTAGCACCAGTGTAAGGATTCTCTGTAAAGAGGCCATCCTAGCCTCCCTTTCCAGTAAAATGTGGAGAGGGGTTAGATCCAGCATGGTCTTCCGTCAGTGTGGTTGACATTGACTCACTGATGGCGACGCACTCAAGTTGGAGAATTCCAACCAGCTTTTTTCTCATCCCGTACTCAACGTGTTTAAATAAGTGATTCTTGTTAATAATCCCAAATCCAAATTCTTTTTTCAGGTTATTTTATTTTATAAGAACTTTTAGTGGGTCGTAGAAAAAAATATACTGCACAACTAGAGTGGATTGTCCGTATTGAACTCAGACAATTGAGTACTTCGCCTCGTGCGATATGGCCGTCATATCCACTCTTGTTGCACAAACTACTATTTTGGTTTAATTATTAGATAAAAATCAATTATGCTACTGGGACTGTTCCAGTCGCCTTGTAATTAATTGTATTATTAAGTTTGTCGTCCTCTCTTAATATTTTAACTTATAGACTTCTCAATAAATATGATATTTCTGTATTGCTCGTTTATTTATATTAGCCCATAGAAGTATTTTTTTTATCTAAAGAGCGTGTTAAAAACGCGCACTACTATTCAAGAAAAAAATCTGTGAAATAGGTATATTTAGGTATAATGTATTTATATGACCAGTAGAACTTTATTATGTACTTTTTGTATAATTTTTTTTGTTAGTTACTTGAGAGGAAAGACTATGTCTTTTTTTAAAGGATTTATTTAAAACTGTATAATATTGTGTTCACAGTAAAAAAATATCCACGACATTGATTTTTATTTATTAATTTTGCTCATACCTGTCATATTACAAACAAATCGAACATATCGGTTTTTTTTTTTTTTTATTTGCGAGATATGACTAGGTAAGTACCTACATGTATTAATTTTTATTCAATAATCTGCAGCAATTCAAAAATATGTAACATTCGCCTATCCAATTCATTGGAGGATTTGTCTGAATGTAATACATTCAGGTAGAGAAAACTAAAGATGATTTTGTTAAAATTGTTAGATTTACCACCAAATTTTGAAGACTGGTTTGAACCTGAAACACAGTCTGTTGTGAGAAAAAACTTATTAAAACAGACTATTACATATTATAAGACTTGTAGGAATACAGATTTAGAGCCATTTGGAAGTCTCTATTTGCACAGTTATCACAGCTCTGGAAATTCTGTTCTGACACATTTCGAACAACTGCATACAAAACGATTTATGCCAAAAACTTGTTCACACTTTTAAAGAAATTAAATTTAACGCACCTTTGTTCTCAACTTCCACTTTCTTATTTGTTGAATTTGTACGCAAGAATAATATTTTATTATGCATTAAAATATAGGAACTTTAAAGGACCGGAAAAGGAAATGAATAATATAGAAAAATTGATAATTCAATATCGTATCATGATCTTTGTGAATATTTCTAATTGTAGCTCATATCTCACAGTAAACATAATATTATAAACAAAAATTGCAGTGAATATATTTGTCCTGAGGCGTTAAAGCCGTGTCATACTTTTTATTTCTCGTGAAATGCGAATATCGACCTAAAGCCATTTGACTTGCGACTTGCTAAGTATAAAAGATGCCGCTGAAAGATGAGTAGCTGGTATTGAATAAGCTGTATCGTAAGTTTCTTCTTCCCAATATCAAACTTTCAAGAGTCCTCAAGTACACATTCTTGGAGATAAGCCTTTGTTTATGTGAAATTACATAGATTTAGGAAAAATATGTTTAATCAATATATTTTTTAAAATATGACTATTAACAATAAATTTAATTTTATTTGACCATGTGCTTTTTAAGATTTAGAAGACGATCGTTTGTTTTTGACAATTTTAAATCCCGATTTTAGGACTTTGGTGATTGTAGATTTTTTTGTTTCGATTCACTCTTGTCCACCGAAAGAGTCTTAATTAAATAATTAACGTCTTGTTTAAATTTGTCAGAACAAGAAAATTGTTTGGCTATCTGGTGTAATCTTTCCATACCTTTCTTCATTTTCTGTATTTGTTCCAGCAAAGCGTTCAATTGTTCTTTATCTGCAAATAAAATTATAACAAGTTTATTTTATGGGGTGATATGCTAGCAACACTAAAGTGGGGGCATTAAACACAGTAAGATTAATTGATAAACATAGACGAAATAGCATTAATAGATGCACAAAAAAAAGATAATGAAAACAAGAAACGCTTGGAACTGGAAACTGTACAAACTGGTAAAAATTGTCCAATATTTATATTCATTTTTAATTAGCCAGATTTTTCCAATTTAGCACTCCCATCCCAGATGCTGGTTTAGTCACGTGTTAGAACAGGCAAAATAGAAATTACGCTTTTTTAGGTTTATCAATTTAATTTTTAAATTAGAGCAAGTACCTACTTAACTAAGGTAGTTGCAAGGTATATAGCAGTGAAGTGTATTGAGCTTTTTGTTAAATAATAAAGGTAAGTAAAAAAAGGAGTTTCCGATGGACAAGGGATTAAATGATGATAGTATCTCTGATTGATTGATGAATTGATTGTTTTTACCACTAACTACTTTAACGAAAATACATTTTTGTTCCTTCCTTTTACTTTGTTCATGTTAAAAAAAATCTTCCCAAGTGCTGAGTAGAATAGCCTGTATTTCTCTGCACGGCTAGCTCGAGTGGTTAATATGTATAGACATTAAAATTTAAAACGGTAGATTTAGAATAAGTACAATAAGTTGTTCGTCTTATTTTTCTATATAATTTGAATATATATTTTAGTTAAAGTATGTATGACATATTATACAGGGTGGGCTACCAGTAACGCCTTGGTCCAAAACTAATTGCTTTTTTTTAAATCTTTTTTCACATCGAGATATAACTAAAAGGCAACAATTTATAAATAATTTCAATTATGCAGGTTATTTTATATTTAAATTTCCATCGCTTTTACCGTTATAACAATACAAAAGTTTGGGATTATATAGGATGTTTCACACGCTATAATCGGTTTTACGTGACATTGAATTCAATGAGCTGCATACTACAAAAGAAACAATAATTGAGAACTAATTTTTTTTGCAGTAAAAGTTTCTCCTTATTTTACATTTATGCTCTTGCACAATTTTTTTCAGTTCGAAACAAATTGTAGAAAACATGAGAAAATGAGGTATTATAGTTTTGACTCGCCCTGTGCAGATTTGTTTTGAATTGAAAAAAATAGTCGTAGGCATAAATGTTGACTAACATCGAAAAACTTTTACCATAAAACAATTGGTTTTCAATTATTTATTTTGCAGTATACAGGTCATTAAAATCAATAAGAAGACAGGCCATTTAAAAAACCTAACTTCGTTATGAACTCATGCAGAATCTTATATAATAGTAATTATCTTTAAGCTGTTACCAGCCAACCCTGAAATTTTTTATTAGAACACCGAATTTGGCCTATTTTATGACTAAAATTACATATAAATATGTGTTCTAAATTGCTTTTTTCCAAGAAACATTTAAAAGATCTTTTGAGACGCCGCGCCGCCGGATTTAATTTTAATTTAACCAGCTTTAAATTATCCTCTTATTACTACAAACAAACCTGTCAACTTTAATCAAAAGGATTATTGGGATATTATTAAAAAAAAATTAAAAACAACACCCTGTATCTAAACACATGTTTATAAGAAGTTTTTGTCCATAAATTCAATATTGACATGATATTCAAGAACACATATACAATACAATAAAGACACATATAGTTTACCTTTTTCGGGTGGTAGAGTAGCTTTTTTTTGTGGTAAAGTTGCCAACAATTCCCTAACGTTCATTCCAACATCACCCTGGATCTCTGCAAATTTTTCATCTTTTTCCTCCTCTTCATTATAAAAACTAGCTCGATCACCTGCAGTTTCTTCAACTGTGTGTTCTTTATGTTTTTTCTCATCTTTACTTATTTTTCTTCGAGGTTTTGCCTTGATGGTATTATCTGTATAGTATTTGCAAGTTACTGCATCTCCCTATTACAATATTAGTTATTTATATATATGTAGTTAAAATAAGATAGAAGTCTACAGCTCCAACGCGCACACTGTGCCTCTAGATGCCTTCTTCCTAGAGTCATAATATTACCCAATTGTGGATAATTTTTTATTTATTTAACTACATTACATTAATTTACAATGTTTGTGCAGGTCTGAGTAAAATCGAAATTTAAAAACATTTATAGCACCTACACAAAAAAACATTCATATAAATAGTAAAACTAAAAAACTCACAAACATAATAAAAATAGGTGTTTGTATATATATTAATACATTTTCAGTGTGTAATTGTTAGAGAGAGAAAAAATCAAATAAAATATACTTCATAGAAGCCGTAAGTACGTATTCACTTATTCATTGACAGAGTAGAAGCAATATCTCAATAAAAATGATTCTAATTGCTTTTTAAACTTATTAGTGCCAAGCTGTTTGAGATCTTGGGTTAATAGATTGGATAGGCTACAGTCCAGCGAATTTTTCTTTGACTTGGTTAAACGAAAACGATTAGTTCGAATATTATCTGCCTGTCTAGTATCATAATTGTGCAAATCGGATTGTCTTGTTAAACTGTTGCTCTGTCTGTGAATTTCAGTCAAAACAGCAAATAGATATGATGTTGACAGAGGTATTATATGAAGTTTTTTAAACAACGGTCGACAATTCTTTCTAAATGTACCCGTATTATTTTAAATAAACAACTTTGAACAACTTTTTAAAAAAAAAATCAAAAATAAACTTACAAACTTAAAAAGGATGCAAGCCATAATTTGTCGTGAAGTGATTGTTTTAGCTCAAAACATCTATTAATAAGAATACACTAGCCACATACAAATTATTTTATTTCGAATTAGAGGCACTATTTTTAGTAATATTTATATATTTTTTTTATTTGTATTTGACAAATTTAAAATTCCATTTTCTCAAAACTTACAATGTGGCATGTATCCTTATTGCGCCAAGCAGGCCCCCCGCTACTTTATGTGCAATTGCACACGGGCGCCATCCTTTAGGGGCACCAAAACCCAGAGACAAAAAAAAATTACAAAAACAAATTTAATTTTAAAATAAAAGTTGAGAAATTAAATAGGATTAGGTATAAATACACACGAAATGTTATTAGAATATCATCCAATTAATGCCCATTCCTATGTTGCGAGAGCATGTCTCCCAAAAAAAATCTGTTAAAATGACTCATTATTAAGGCGTGCAAATACAGAATGAAATAATTGAATTATTGTCGTCTAAAGTAAGAAATATTTTCGAAATGGTTAGCAGTTCAAAATATTTTTCACTTCAAAAAAGGTTGAAGCTAAGGAAAGTTTTATTGCGTTTAATCCAATACTGGACCCTACAGGGGAAGGGATATACACATTTCTGACAGAAATTTTGAAAAAACTAAATTTAGATATAAAAAATATTAATAAATTATGATAATGACACAAACATGAAGGGAAAGCATGTTGGGCTTCAAAATTGCATTCTTGATGCGAATCCGAGGCCCTTCTTGTACCTTGTGCGGCTCATACTTTGAACTTAACAGTAAATGACGCTTCTAAGGTGTCAGATGCTACAATAAACTTTTTAAATATTGTGCAAGAGTTATTATATAATTTTTTTCGTCATCCACAAAAAGGTCGGATGTTATGAGAAAAAATGTCCCCAGTTTAAGTTTAAAGCCTCTAAGTGAGACAAGATGGTCCAGCAGAATTGTTGCAATAAAGCCCCTTAAACTTTATTTAATTAAGGTTTGCGAAAGTCTTCTAGAAGTAGCTGAAGATAATTCCTTTCACATTGATGCAAGACATATTTTGAGTTTATTTGTGGAATTATTATTTGGCATGACGTTTTATTTCATATAAATATTGTCAGCAAACAAATGCAAAGTGCTACAATTAATATTAAAGTATGCCAGACCTACCTAAAAAATTTAGTTGATCACTTCCAGCAATATAGATCTGAACAATCATTTCAAGAAATTCTTGTACAAGCGAAAGAAGTAGCACTCTTTCTCGAAATTGAAGAAGACTTTCCACCGTTACCAACGGTCAGGAGGAAATTTAAACCAAAACTGTTTGACTATGAACACCGAGATGAGACCCCTCATGATCCAAAAACCGTCTTTAAAATTAATTTTTTCTTTAAAATTAATTTTTTCTTTAAAATTAATTTTTTCTTAAAAATTATAGATCAAACTTTAAGCTCTCTAAAAAACCGATTTGACTCATTAAATGAGTATGATATTTTCGGATTTTTTAGTGACATATTCTAAATAAGTGACAGCGATCTTTTAAAACGTTGTTCTGTTCTTGAAGAACGACTGACAGATCAGGATAATAAGGATATAAACACCAATGATTTGTTTAATGAAATTAAAGCGTTAAAGTTGTTTTCATTACCTGATGATACTGACCCCTTAAGTATTTTATAATATATATTTGAAAACAATTTAATCTCCACCCTTCCAAACGTAAGTATTTCACTAAGAATTCTTCTGACATTGTCTGTATCTGTATAGCTTCTGGCGAGCGATCTTTTTCAAAGTTAAAAATCATTAAAAATTATTTAAGATCGACAATGCTTCAAGAAAGATTGTCTGGGCTAGCAATATTAGCAATTGAACAAGAAATTTTTGATGATATACATTTTAGCGATGTAATTAATGAATGTGCAACAGCAAAGCCTCGGAAAATATCGCTACTATAATAACTATTTTTTATTTTTCTATTGTACCTAGCTATCATTTTGGATTTTATAACGAAGTAACCTAGGTATTTGTTATCAGAAGTATCTGCATATTTTTTTAAATATCTAAGTATAAGTAGAAAGTAGTACTTATATACATATATGTAGACATATGCAATGTCCTGTTATTTTTTCTTTAAAAAAATGTGATTTTAAGTTTTGGGTTATTTTCTAGTGTTTATAAACAACCCATTAGTTAAGTAAATGCTTTAAAATGCGTGTGAACAGGAATTTATTTTAATTTATTTTATGATTTTATTGTTTGTTTCATTTTGATATTTTAGTCTACAAATAAATATGACTTCTAAAGTTCAGTTTTTTGCTTTATTTCAAGCACCTACCTACCTTCAAAAAAATAAATAAAAAAACAATCCAAAATGCCTTAAGGGGTGCCAAAATCCTTTTTTGCACATAGGCGCCAGTAGCCCTTACGGGGGCCTTGGCGCCAAGGTCTTCAATTATTATTTCCAAAATGTATCCATACGGTCCTGTCTAATTTACGTGTGTAGAACTAAACAATATATAAAAGGTCTGTGTGTAGAACTTTCGTCAATAAAATTTAATGTTGTTCACATTCAGATAAACTATTGAAATCACACACGACTGAGTTACAATATACAGTACACAGTAAATCATGATTCATACATTAAAAATCCGAAAAAAAGGATGAAAGCATCTCATATTTTAAGGCTCGGATTTAGATTTTTAATTTTGTATCTTTCTTAGTTTTGATTTTTTTTAAAGGTATTTGAAAATGTCCTATATTTTAATGAATTCTATACACAGTTAAAAAAAAGTATCAAAAAATATTTAATATTCATTTACTAGAACAGTCTTCTTTTCTTATATTTGATTGTAATTGATGTAATGCATCTTGCATACAATTGATACAGCAATAATTATAGTGATATGTTAATGATAAAGAGAGGTGTCCCTCAGGGATCTATACTTGGACCTCTTTTCTTCATTATCTACACAAATGATCTTCCAGTCTACACGAAATCACACTTTCGGAATCTATAACAATGTACGCAGATGACACTAACTTGTCGTACTGTGATAAATCTCACAACACCAAACTCAGTGAATAAGTAATGGAAACAGCAAAGAAATGGTTTGACCACAACGAATTGTTTATGAACTCGGACAAAACCGAAGTTTGCACCTGATAAAAACAGCATCAAATTCTTAGGGGTACATACCCAGACAGCACACTATATCCCTGGCATATGCCACCAATCTGCCTATTTGCCAAAATATATTGCAATATTTATGGAATATTCACTGAATATATTTCATATTCTACATTCTAGAAGGATATTCCAGACATATGTATTTTTGATATGCTCTGCATATTCATTTTTCATATTGTATAGATATCTCTGTAGAATATTATGTTATATTTAACTATTTTGTTTTATTATCTATAAGTACAAATGAAGACATAGTTAACAGGATCATCCTTGTTTAGCTTATAAAGACTTAAATTAAAAAAAAACGTGAACTTAGAACTTCAGAATGTAACTTTAAATCATTATTGTGCAAACTTATTTTCAATTAATAAAAAAAATTAAGCCTCCGAGATCAAATTATCTTTCTCTTCATAGATAAAATAAGTATGTATAGTTTCCTATAATGTAGACAAGAAAAGGACAAAAGAATATGATTCTAACATTCAAAAGTATGCGCCTAGTACGTATTGGTAGTTGGTAGTAAAAATTACCTAATAGTGTCTTATTGGCTCCATTCATAATCTAGCCTATCGTCGAACGTAAGTCTTTGTTATACGGGAAGTTCGATTGTGAGGAATAGTTTTTATTCATGATACCCTGGTCAAATACTCTAAACGGTGAAGGCCACTAATGAATGAAAAAAAAAAGAAAAAGAAGAATATGACACATAACCAAACATTGTCAGATTTACTAGAATAGAAACGTGTAGTGTGTAGTTTTTGTTTTTTCTTACGATATACCCACCTAAGGGGTAAGTCTGATTATTTATAATATATGGTCTTTCTGTAGTATCAGTGTGGTGCTTAAAATCATAAATATTTTACAAGAAGTGTAAATCAATTGGTAGACGAGTCTCTTTTGATTTGCAGCCAAGGCACCATGTAAACCTATTTTTGTTTTTTAGAGATGTGTAGGAAAATCCACAGTACACAAATGGCAACGGAAAATGTAGAGGCCTATAAATAAAGTGACTCAAAGATGCTATAGAAGTAAGTATTACTGTAATGTTTGTCTCAAGGTTTTGAAATATTTCTATTTTACTGATATTTTTATCTGAATTCTAACACTTATTATTAAAAGCATCAAAATGTAAATAATTTATAAATATCTTATAATACATATACATATCTTATATATCATTTTTTTTAGGAGAAAAGTACGTGAAGAATCTCAGCAAATAAATTTAAATTTTTAGTTTTTTGTATGTATAGTTTTATTTTTTGAAAATTTGCTTTATTTTTAAAATAAAATTTATTTTGTGTTTAAGTATGGGTTTTATTTTCTAAACTATGGTACGGAATTTCAAAAAAAAAATTGAATATGCCATGAATATTCAAAATACCATGAATATAGGCATACATAGATATCCTCAGTAAATCCAGAGAATATGCCATACATATATTTTGGCAGATAAAAACATATTGTGGGCATATGTTTCATGGTGACCTTGAATATTCCTGCAATCTTCCTGTCATATGCCATGGCGGATATGGCATATCCATGGAATATAGGAGTATGCAGTTGAGATATGCATTGAATATTCATGCAATATTTTTGTGCTGTCTGGGTATAGATTCTCGTCTAACCTGGAACCAACAAATTGGTCCACTCTGCAATAAACTCTTAAAAACTATTATGCCATTCGAAAAAATTTCATACTCCTCCAACATCGAAACAGCCCTGTTAAATTATTGTGGATTATTCCACTCTAACCTAATATATGGTATCTTAGGATAGGGTAACATATCTTTTAGTAATTTACAAAGGATGTTTGTTCTACAAAAAGCAGATGGAATACTGTTGCAAAAGCTGACTTTAGAAATCACTGTGTCCCCACTGTTCAAACAGCTTAAAATCATTACAATTTTCTCAGCTGTAATATATGAAAACTTACTATATATAAAGAGCAACACATTTATTTAATACACTCTTAAGTCCACTCGTGCCATACAAGAGGGATACATTAATCCAACCTCGCTGTAGGATTAATAAATATAAAATACCGGGTGTAAATTACTTTAATTATCAGAAGGGATCCGGACACTCCCTGTTAGAAAATATAAACAATAAATTAAAACCCTTATATGATTGATATGTGCTTGTATAATTTAACGGATTATTTTGAAGCAATTAATAAGCATGCTGACTATGGTAACTATGTAACACGTTCTGAGATATTTTAATACTGGTCTAATAGATTAAATTAATTTTAGTCTTGGGCTGTAATCAATGAACTACTATATTTTATTATAAATTGTAAACTATTGCTATGATACAGATATGTATATGTGTGTATATATGCATTGTACGTTTTCTTTTTTCCTTTATATATTTTTAATATTTTTTTTTTGCGAATGTAAACGTCTAAAATACGTAACACTGAATAAAGATTATTATTACATTTACTTCTCCTTGTCGTCGAAGAGTTAAACATTTAGCCTCAGCCTAGTTCAACATTAAATGCACAACTTTTGAAACCACAATATTATCATTAATACATACGTAAACATTGCTCTCTTCGTAGTGTATTCAGTAGAAGGCATGAGCTGAAGTCCCTTGCAAAGTAGACATATCAGTTATATCTAAGTGAATTCTACATTATCTCAAATAAGCTGACTCGGTGCCAATATCCACAATTTCCTCTCCTTAGAATACATTGGGTGTGGATCTTCATCTCTGCCTCTGTGTGAGTACCGAGTGTCTCCTTCAATGTATGTCCTCATGTTAAGAGTCGTTATTTATTTTTTGTTCTGACAAACTTAAATTTTCTATTGGGAAGTGTAGTTTACAAAATATTGTTCTTATTTACAGATCTGGATTTTTTGAAAATGAAATTCGTCTTAATCATTATGTTTCTTTCTGTTTAGCAAACACACATGGAGACTCGAATATTTGTTAAACCAATATCGAAAATAGTAATAATATTGAATAGGCATCTACACAATTTATTAATTATATTGTACATATTTGACTCACCTGGTCAGTAGTTACATTCAATGAATTAGAAGCATCTGACGCCTCTTGGTGTTTCCGTATCATTGTGAGGGATTCCCTGGGCTTACCATTAATTTCTAAGTCCACGTTGTAATGATTCTCGGAGTTTAAACAGTAGACTGTGGTGGATTTTTTATTGTTGTATTCCCTATCTGAATCGATTATATTTTGAATCAGACTGAAAATACTGCGTAACATATTTTGTATTTGTAGGGCATATTCTGCTAATAACCCTTTACTGGACCTTACATAAAATGTTTCATTTAGTCATTGCTTACAAGAAAGTTTCGCACATTTTAATTTTTTGAATGCACTTGACAATTAAAATGAGTTGTCATAAACAATGAGTACTTTGATAATTAGAAAAATAAAATTGTATTTGGTGGAAAGTATCAAAAATATAATCAATGCGTTTTTCATGAAAATGCACAATAAAGCCTATGAAGAACACTTTGATAGTTATAGCTATGGAAAAATAAGAGATTTGGAAAAACAAATTTGGTTTGAAGTTGGGAGTTTCCAGCCTTTGTTATATTAAAACTAAAACACTAATAATTCACCAACGTTCAGGGACACAAACAGACAGTATTCTCAGCAGACAATCTTTAGTTTTAGTTTAACCTTTCAATGCTGGAGGGGTACAAAATGAATGTCAGAATTGATTAATTCCTCATAGTTTTTGAAATGTTTGATATTTTAACATGTAATTTTTGATTCATTGTTATTTTGACTAATAAACAAAAATATTTTCCTTAGTACTAAATATAACTCTTCCATCAAGCAAGTATTGTATTTGACTGCACAGTGTTTTTGCTAGCGTGTTTGTGTGCTTAAAATTTGCACACAGACCCATGAAAACTCACTTAGAGCTACAGTAGTCTGTATACAAGCCTGACATAATTATCCATGGACAAAATGGTCAAGGAATACTCTTATAAGAAAGCTTCCAAAAGGTGGCCCTTTATTTTCAAAGCATATATTGCCGAATTTTAGAAAAATATTGAGTAGTTTGGACAAAAATAATTTCTAATTAAAGTAACTTTAATATTCTTCTTGGGAATAGATAATTTAATGTCAAATATTATACCACTTATAAAAAAAATATATATTTTTCCTAACATTAATTATACACTTAAAAAAATCTTAATGGCTCAACTAGTGTTATGGGGGTTTTTTTTCTCAGCTTCCCTGGCTCTTTTTATTTGCATATTTCTCTGTTGCTGTAATACTCGCTGAAAGTTTTCAGCCTCCTTTTCATCTTCAACATCTAAAAGTAATGTAATGTAATTTAAAAAAAAAGTTTAAATTAAAACATACTTTCAAATGGTGCCTCTTCTCCTTCTGAATCTGAACTGCTCTCATTGGCTGGATGTCTCAAATAAACATCAGATAAGTCTCTACCTAAAGGAACTTCAGTCAAAAAAGACGAACCTTGTTCTTCTTTTTCTTTTAAAATTTCTGTTTTTTTAGCTTCAGTTTCAGCCCTGATTTTTTCCCACTCTACACGATATTCTCTAAAACATTTTTGAAGAACTGTTTAAAAACGAAATAATACCAATATAAATTCTTACTTTTCATATTCCTCTGCAGCTTCAGTAATTAATTTATACAAGTCATCTATTCCTTGACCTGTAGCTGCACTAACTCCACAAACTTTTAAATTCTGATAAAACTCATCCAATGCCAAAGCCATAGACCTAGTCAGATTACTAATATAACTCTCATCTGATTCCAGAGCTTCTTGGAATACTTCAAAATCATTCATCCAATCTTTGGCATATGAATGATCTACTATATCAATCTTGTTCATGACTACAATAAAAGGTAACCTAGTTTTGTATAGAATAGAACATGCATATAACATATTAGACATAAATGTTACTGGAGAGGTACTTCTCACACAGTCCACAACATATAAAATCACTGTTGGGAAGGATGAAGCTAGAGTCTCTGTTATTATAGAGCCAGAAACTGACCATGTAAATACTTCTATTTGACCTGGGGTGTCTAAGATACACAACTCATTTTCTGATTTCTGAATAAAGTCAATAACCTCGGGAAATTTTGTAGAAAATAAATTAAGAGATGTGACAATTGCCCCGTTGGGTCCCAAATTGTATTGCTTCATAACTTCCTTGTAGTTGACAGTTTCACGAATGTCTAAAACAAATGCATTTAAAGGCTTATCAAGTAATATGCGCTTTTTAATATTACCTATATTTGCAAAATATGGTAAATTCAAACATGCAGGATCCAAATTTACAACATAAGGCTTTTTTTGAGAGTTAGTTAATCTTGTAACTAAAGATGTTTTCCCACTGCCAGCCATGCCAAGAATAATAAGGCATATTGGTTTACTAGTGGTTTCTTTTGAAGAACTAGATGCTTCTGCCATTCTATAATGAATATTATTCTTATCCTATAAGTAAACAACCCTAAAACAACGTACAATATTAAAAATATATTTTATTATTAAAATTTAAGGTTATGTTTGAAATTGGTTTCTTCTTCTTTTTATATAGGATAGGTTACATTTCACCTACTAACATGTCATGGACTGGATTTTTGTGCAATTAGCAAGGAAAAGGACACACAAATTTGCATCAAGATCGAAACTAATAAAAATAATCATATTTTAAGCCAATCTGAATCGAATTTTGTTGTATCAAGATAACAGAAGAGCGAGTAGGCATAGGTTTAAAAAAAAAGGCGAAAAAATTAAGTTCCTTAATCAAATTACCGCATAATTTAGGGTAACGCAAAATGAATTTTGATCTTGTTTACCTCCTTGCTCTCCTGTTATCCTGATTAAAATAAGCGTGAAATCCAATGATTTAAAATGTTTCCCGCCCATTCCAAATTACCTTCCTATATGTACCTACTCATGCCGCGTTTGAGAATCCACTTCGGATGAATTTTTTACATCTCGAGCGTTTTTTATCCACATCTGACACATCTGTCCCATTACATTTACGTATACTGAATCACGTGATCAAAGATTTACTACATATCTCAGATGCATCCGATGTGGATTCTCAAACGCGGCATCACTCTTCTGTTATCCTGATGCAATGATCAGTTCTGAAATTTCAATTTCGTGGATAAAATTTTAATATCAAGATAACAGAACAGCGAGTAGTATAGGAGGTATTTTTAAAAAGGCGGAACAATTAAAGTTCCTTAGCAACGGTAATTTGCATTGTCATTCTAGGTAACGCAAAATCGACGGATTTTTGAACTTGAATAACTCCTAAGCGACTGAAGATAGAGATCATTAGCCAAATATCACTTTAGTCTAACCGGTCGGCTATACCTACGTTTTTGTGAATTTAGATAATTATTCGATTAGTTACTGAAGAAAATTACAAAAATAATAAGCACTTATATAGATAGAAAGCAACTGAGTCGACTCTGTAATTTGTAATGCCCCATTTATAATGTACCCATATTTGCATGAAAATCGGAGACGAATTTTATTGTAAAAAATTTTGCTCATTTTTAGGAATATTAAAAAAAAATAAAACCGGCATACTCATAGCAACGTCTACATCTCAACAAATACTTAGTTCTCATCTAATGCAGAAATAGAGTTTAAAACTTGAAGATCATTTATTAGAAAGCATTGAAGATAAAAAGAATTAGACACCAGTCAGACATTTTATAAAATTTTTCCATACATCGCTCTCCTGCTAGCTGTTATCCCAATACAAAATCCGCCTGCAGAGTGCGTATTCTAACTGCCCCATGATATGGAGATGCTTCCGCGCGTACTTGGCAATGACCAGTCAGAATACCTGCTGTGACTAGGCGCAGATTCTGTTTAGTCATAGTCAAGTATTTGTTTGCTGCAGTATTGTCAGGAAAACTTAAAAGCTTCCTGGCAACACAGCCTGTAACCAAGTTCCCCATCGTGTAATAACTGGTTGTGGAGGTAGGGGGATATTCGGACATATTTCTTTATATAAAGAAACTCGGGACGGTGCTTTTAACAAATTTTTTTTAAAACAGCTAATCAACGAATTAATGTCTGGAAAGCTGTCACGGATAAACTCACAAACTCGGTGTAACGCGTGAGCAAGGCAAGTTACATGCAGCATGTTTGGAAAATGTTCTTGTAATAGTTTCCCTGTTTTCAACATTACACTTGCCGCGTCTGAAATAAACAATAAAACTTTTGAAACGTCATTATCAATTACATTGTTCAATCCACGTTTCACTATTTCATAAATCATTTCAGCGTTCACAGTTTCACGAAACACACTAGAAACTAAATACTGTTGTGAAGTATTTTCAGCACTTAATAATCCTACAACAACATTAACAACACATCTACCCTTTATGTCAGTCGTTTCATCTGCACTAACCCAAATATATTTGCTGGAAATTTTCGTTTTTATTGCCGTCATTGCTTTATCGTACTGATTTTGAATATAATGTTTTCTAATTGTGGATTCATCCGGTATTTTACGTTTAGTATATTTACAAAGAAAATTTTTGAAAATTGTATTATTTAATTTTGTTAATGGAATATTTGCAGAAACAAATGCGTTGCATAAATCTTCATAAAAGATTTTGTCTGGACATCCCTCTAAAGATTGCATGTGTTTTTGTGTTTTCACATGTTGTGTCATACTTGACTTTCCATTAAAAACTAACACCTGATCACAATTGCGGCAGTATAATTTGTTGTCATTAAAACGACGAAAACAATCAAAGTCCGATAATAAATTTTCCATATTTACGTTTCCAGTTTCTATCACTTTTCCCTTTGAACTAAACAAATATACTCATTGGAAAAATCTAGTGATATTTTTACAAGACACTTTCTTCTCAAATCTCCTGTTTATCGACTCTTTGTTATCTTTTTACATTTTTTCAACCAACAGATACCTATATAGAGTGAGCAATTGAATTAATACATACATTACAGAAATTTAACAGACATTTATTTTATTGTCTCATCGTGTATAAGTACCATAATATCCACAGGAAATAAAAACATAAATGTTTTGTTACAAAAAATCGGTATGTACGGTATCGATAAAAGCCAAAATATTCATAAATATAATATAAGGATTGACTTTATTTGAATAAAAATATCACCGGCAACTAACCGACAATGGATCGAGAAAGTATAAGACAACATATGATGGGCCTATTTGACATTCATTTTAGGCCCTCTCTACAGCGTCTTAGTCCAAACGCTCGTAGAGTCCTAATATTTGGCCCCGATGCAATTTCTCCAACAATGAATCGGGACCAGCTAAGGCTAGAAATTTCCAATTTTCTGGAGGAAATAACAAATTCGGGGGAGGCAGCTGGGGTCCTCGATCCTCATTTTAGGCAGGAGAGTAGTGTACCACGCCAAAATATTGAGGAATAGATATTTTGTAATTATATGAGATAATAATAAAAAAAATATCATACAGAATATCGTTTACATTACTACACCTTAAACTCGCTTATGAAAAGTTTAACATCTTCATCAAAAAAGTTATTTTTTTTTAAGGAAAATTTCTCAGGCCACAAATTAAAGGATCTGAGGTTACTAAAAACTTTTGTAAAATATCCTACATATCCTCGGCGTTGGTGAGAAGAAAACATTAAATTTGTTTAATGAAAATGATTCAAAAGACAAAGAATATAGGTACACGATAAAAAAAAATCTCACTTTTTTGTATTAGTTTTAATGTCTATGTATATATCAGTACACTTTTTTTATCTTGTTTTAATAAAAAAAAGAGGTTTGTCCTGATAGTATTAGAATCTGCCGCACTGTCTGCCGTCTTAAATAGCGAACCCAGAATGAGACGCCTATGTGATTAAAACCAATTATTTGAACGCGATTAAAATGTCCGGTCTTTAATTATAATATTTGCCGTTTAACTTTTATTTTTTAAATATATTTAGTTCTTTAAAATATCTTACCTTCATTAATAAATAATTATCATCGGGGGCTTCTAGTAAAAATTTATTTACTTCCTCTCTTGAGAAGGTTTTTGCCTCATTAGGTTTATATCCCTGGTTTTGTCTTTTCAAGAAAGCAATTAATTTTGGGTATTTAATATCCACATTTTCTTTTATTTGAAGCATGGAACGTAGCATTGAATACTTGGACCACAATGTAGAGGCTTTTAATGTATTTGCTAATAGCGAAAAATACCCCAAAATAACATTTTCTGAGTGAGTACGAATATGCCTTTCTTCGGCCCATTGCTTGAAATGTAAATACTGTTTTTCGTATTTTTCTTTAGATTTTTGGGGTAATAGAGATTGTACTGTTGCATTAACCTGTTCCAAAATATCCGGTGGTGTATTATTTATGTCTTCAAATTCGCTTGAATCACTCATTTTTTAAATATTATTTTATATTTTGTAGATATATTATAGCGTAACCATAGCCCTCAGAGGGCTATGAGCGTAACACACTTTGAAACTGATCTGTCAATCGACCATAGCATGAAGTCAAATTATTAATGTAAAAGTCGTTAAATTAAAATAATTACTGATTTTTACTATTTTGCAAAATACAGGGTGTTCTATAAATAAACGGTAAAATTTATACTTATGTAATAGAATATAGTTTAGGTCGTCAATGCCGTATAAGCTATTTCATTTATGACATACCATACCCTAGGGAGTAAAAGTACTTTTCCTCCCTAGGGAGGAAAAGTACAACTTTGCTCCCTACAATGAGGCCAGGAAATGTATACTTTAGATAGAGGTAGGCGGAAAGATAATGATTCATACTTTTGATTCTTATTGGAAACAGGAAAACAAAAATATGATGTCGAACACCTGATTTTCCTGTAAATTTATCAAATATATTGAGTACAGATCATGTAATAAAAAAAAAGTGTTTAAAATATGAATTAAAGATAAAATTTTCATATTTTCATTGCCAATGAAAATACTGAAAAATTTAAATTTTGCGATCTTCCTCAAATTTCTGTACGGTCCATTAAAAGAAATCGTGAATAGAAAAATAAATATTGAGAACTATTAACAAATTTTGCTTTTATATTTATAAATAACAATTACTTTAAGGTAGAAAAGTGACCCCTAAAGTATTCCCCCAGATATCCGATTATGCCCAAAATATAATCATCTCACTGCATGATGGATTTAAGCTTAAGTTATTGATGATATAAAGACACACACAAATGACATTAATACTTATAATTATCTGGAACAGTTAAAAAATGAACTGATATTTAAATTCTTTTATTTGGTACAGTAAACCATGTAACAATTTTAGATAAATGGAAGATTCTGAAAATCACCAGCTGTCCCAGTTGAATGTTTAACTGATCTAGGTAAATTGGTTTTGTTCATTGCATTTTAGATGAACAATAGTCTATTTTAGTTAAAAAGTTAACTGAACTACGTGTAACTAATTTAAAAAAAAAATAACTGTTATTCAAATTCAAAGTGTATGCCCTACTACATCCGTGTAAAACTGAATTCAACACAAACGTACTGAATCTTCCAGCCCTACATTTCACCTACTAAACTTGTCATGGACTAGATTCATGCATTATTCATTTAAATTGTAATTTGTAATTACTACTGTAAAATATCCAATTTTAATACCTATTGGTTATTATTCCCAGCACTATAATCAATTTTCAGATACCCCATTCCTCCCCAGTCCTGAATTGTTAGGGATTTATTTAGAAGGATAGCAGACCAATTTTTTTTAAAGAGGCACATGAAAAATGAACACATTTTAAATGAGTATATTGCATAATACAACAAATCAACAAAATATTTAACAAACTAGCTAATTTTTGGTTTTAGGAGGTACATTTTGAAACATAGGGTGGATTAGATTTAAGAGCGTCTCTTTAACATAATAAATTTAATACAGCTTAAAATGTAATATTAACACCTTCAACATAATTTTTTATTTTTTTAAAAAACTACCCTTACATCAAAATTGATAATGCTTTAGTGCTAAATATTAATATTTTTGAGTATAATCATTAAAAATATTTACAAAAAAAAATGCCCTTAGGTTAATATAAAAACACTTTTACCATGAAATCTCTCCAAAAGAGCTCAGGTGAATTTCAATAAATAACTAACAGACTCTTTGTATAAATGAAACATAATTTATCAAGAAAATAGTTGTGGAAGAATTCTATGGCACACCACAAAAAATATGCTTTAAAATTTTCAAATAATTGTATAAAACAATAATTGTTCAGAATCATTTTGAAATTCACCTTTGGGATTGAGCATTCAAAATTAGTACAGTATAGGTATAAAAATATTGTCATATTTAGTCTAAATTGGATCTTTACAAATCCTCATAGCCATTTCTGTTAAAGGCTCCAATTCCTTCCTGTTCACCAATTCAAATTCTGTTACAAAATAATAGAAGTGTTTGTAACAGGTATTCACGTGAGCCTCCTAAAACAAGTAATAGTACTAGATTTTAAGAGAATCTTGTAGTTTAGTGTCCTAGTAACGTGCATGTCTGCATCATTTTTGCTCCAACTCGTTCTGACCAGAATCAGTACATAGTTGCCAGATGAGTTATATGCAGAGATAACAGGAGATATAGCTATTAATATAATATTCGTGACGCCGTACAAACTGGCGGTTCCAACAAAAATATTTGCAATTTAGCATTAAATATACCCACTGGGTAAGTCACACAACCCAAGTAATATTTTTAGATTTATCAAAGTATACAAGGTAACCATAAAACTCTTTCACTGATAAAACTTTTGAATCCGCGAGATAGCTTTAGGGCTGCTATAAATCTGCTTTGAGAGTAAAAGGGAGAATCCTATAACGGTTCTTAGGAGTATTTTTAAAACAATATCTTAAGATTAATTAGATTTAAGACAAAGTCCGTAAGAGTATATTAAGAATTTTATTAAACCATTTTTAAATCTTTTTTAAGATTATGATAATAAGTGGGATAGGCATAAAAACTTTACAAAACTAATCAGTTTTAAGAGAATTAAATTTTAAACTGTTTTACCTTTATTCTGTTTTATCATACTCTCTGACAGAATGATTTTGCAAACGTGTTGGGAAGACTGCCATATTAGAAATTAATTATTATATAGTGTATGTTTAATTTGTTTAGTTACACTTGTTATTTATTTAATTTTCAAACACACACCAAAGTACTGTTAAAGTGGGCAAGGCGGGTCTTAATAAATGATGGGCCTTACAATATATGAAATATACGTGAAAAAGGATTATTATACGGATTCTAATCTATTTACCGAAAGTTATTTAATAGAAAATAACATTGTAAATATCGAATATATAGCACTATAAAATGATATGTTTTTCATACAAAATATCACATTTTGTATTTTTCAAATTATTTTATGGAATTGACTATTTAACCGCCAATATAAATCCTAATATAGATTTTTCTTTGCATGGATACTTGTCATCGTCAGAAAACCATTTTGAATTGCACATACTAACTACTGGACTATCAGAAACAAACTTTGTGTTAATCATAAATTACATTTATATACCTTAAAAGGAATTAGCTCATTGCGTTCGGTCTGCCAAGTTCCTTTAACTCCTTTAACACTTTTAACTCCAAACGATCCTTTTAGCGTTCGGTTTAGTCCGATTAGTGACAGTTTAACACGCTTAAATGTCATTTAAAAGCACCCTAAAATTTGTCCCGCTCCAGCCCCTGTCTATCCGAACTCGCCTGTCAAATTTGTATGTGGTTAAACGCAGTAAATGCAATCAAATAATAAATCTACTGTCACTGGCACAATGTTGTCATTGGCACACTGTTGTAGGGATGGGCAAAACTGCTATTTTTAAATAACAGTTATAACAGTAACTGCTTTTTCTAAAAAGCAGCTTTCAAATAGCTGCTTTTTAATAGCAGTTTATTAAATCATCGCAACATGTAGTTCGACTACGCTGCTTAAGTGTTTACCGGTATTTCATTATTTACTAGTCGATCGGTGATCGCGTTCAAATCTGTTAAGCTGTCTTATAATGTCGAGTTAAATATCAACCGGTGCGGGTGGTTCCCCAAATTGTCAGAATAAATCGACGACAACGGGAATGGTAACAATTAAAAAATGAAAAAATTAGTCTTTGTATGCCATCACGTCCTCTCTGACGTAAGTTTTGTATTGTGAGTTATTTTCTTAAAAAAAATTTATTTGCTGAAAATATTTGTAAGAGGGCACAGCATTTTTGGTCTAACCATAACTGTTATTGTACAGAAAAACATAAACATCCGTAGTGCACGTATAAAATACGACATTCGCATCAGCAACTTGCCATTGTCATCGTCGCATCACGCGCACCATGCACTCACAACATAGTCACAAAGATCGGCGTATCTGAAATCGAAATATTAGTGAAAATGGTAAACTGCTATTTAAGAAGCAGCGATTTGTAATAGCTGATAGCAGTTGAAAGCTGCTTAGTTCAAATAACAGTTGTCAAATAGCAGTATACTAAAAAGCAACCCATCTCTACACTGTTGTCATTGACACACTATCACTGTCTTTGGTACACAAAATATGTCATTACTAAAATCGAAAGATTTTAGAATTATTTGCACTTTGACCATAATTTATTTGAATATCCTTTAGGTACTATTTTACATGATATGAGGTTAAACAGCCACTGCCATATTTAAAATGGAGGATTTCCTCATTGTGTTCTATCTGTACCTAAAAACGGACATTAGCTTATAAAACTAATAAAGCAAAAAAAAATACTTTTCAGGACTTTCCAGTTTTAAAAAGCTCTTGCTACACTTTTTAAAGCGTTTCATGAAACAATAGTAAATACGAAAACCTCAATAAAACATTCATAAGTTCATAACCTCAATCTTGAGCTTCTTATTTACTCTACGAACAAGTCATTCAAAATATAAAAATTAGTAATAATCTATTAACCATTTTTCTCTTTTACTGATCATTTCCAGAATATTTGGAGCCTAGGAATGTTTTGATATTTGTTGAACAATGGAACACAATGAAATTATTAAACACTGAGGAGAAGGAAAAACATATAATTTTTTTTTTCATTCTCTATGGAAATTACCACTTTTCTTTATTTTGAACAATTTATCTTTCAACGTCAACATAATGTCATTGGGTTTAAAAGCTAGGTTATGCTCTAAAACAAACTTTAGTTCTTATTAAAACTATGTAGCCCTATGGTTTACTAAATTAAATAAATTATAAGAGTTATGTTGTAAAATTGTAGAAAATGTACCTAAAAGGTTCTGGGATCAATTTAATTTAAAGTATAATCCTAAAACACTTTTTAAAACCTACTTGAGATAACTGCTAAAAAGTATGCCTCTTTAACTCCAAACACACCTTAGGAGTATCTTTAAACTAAACAGTTCTAAAATTACTTAGTAATTAACCCTTACAGGACAGCGATAAATCATAGTTTACTTTAGGATAAACTAGTTTCCTTAAATAGATTTAAAGCAGGGTTCGACCGATATATATCGCCGATATTTATCATGATATATATCACGATATATATCGATATTTATAAGCAATGATATATATCACGGATATTTATAGATTTACTGAAATGTGCGACGCTGCGTAAAAATTTCGTAGTTAATCGTGATTTAATACCACGAGCACGCCTATGCAACAGCTGAAAACGGGTATTTACATTTACCGACCGTTTGTCCGATCGATGGAGCAAAGCATTTTCGGGGGAATCACCAACTTCGTTTTAGAATATCTTTAGATGCTGATTTTAACTTAATCGCCGCGGAATCGTCATTTGTACTTTTTGTTGTGCTTTTAATTAGATTGTGTGATATCGTAGTGATAATAACAGATATTTAAAGAAAATGCCAAAGAATACAGATATGGTATGGGCAAAGTTTGACTGTATTACATCGAAAAATAGTGGCAATTGGGCAAGGTGCAAACTGTGTCAAAAAGAAATGCAAGGTATACTTACACGAATGAAAAAACACTTACAAAGTTGTGCTAAAGAAAGTGCCAAAGACTTTAGGAACATTACTGTACAGATAGCATCAACAAGTAAAGAAGAGGAAGGTAAATTAAAGAAAAATTATGTTTAATAAATTGTAAAATAAATACTATTCCTGGGCGTATTCCTAAAGAAATATGAACTACAGATCGATATTTTTTTTCAGATGATTGCGTTATTTTACAACCTGCAAAGAAACCGGGACAATTTTTACAAAATATAGAGCCGATACCGTCAACAAGTAAAGAAGAAGGTAATTAAATATATACAGGTTTATTCGAGGGTTTATTAGATTTTTTAATCCTCAAATTATTCCTATAGATATGAATTATAGCTCGACATTTTTTTTTTTTAGATAATAGCGACATTCTACCACCTGCCAAGAAACAAAGACAGTTATCTATTTTTAGTAAATTGGACATTATTGCAATATCAAAAGAACATTCAATTAATATTAACAAGCAAATAGCTCGATACTTTTATGCCACAAATACGCCGTTCAACCACGCTGATCACCCAGAGTTTAAAAAAATGTGCTGCATATTACGCCTAGGTTACAAAGGCCCCTCTGCAAAACAAATAGGTGATACCCTTTTGAATACTGTGCACAGAGAAGTTAAAACGGATTGCAGAAATGAAATTGAAAATTCTACAGTGTGTATGTCAATGGATGGTTGGAGCAATATCCACAATGAACCACTTATTTGTTGCAGCATAGTGACTTCAAATGGATAATCTATTTTGATAAGATTGTGTAGACACAGGCATAGATCGTCATACTGCAGAAAATTTAAGAGATCTTGCTATAAAAGCTATAAAAATTGCTCAAGAAAATTTTCAAGTTACAGTGGGGAGTTTTGTAACGGACAATGCCGCTAACGTTCAAAAAATGCGCCTGGATCTTGTTAATGACTTTGATATTATTCAATATGGATGCTCAGCCCATGTGCTAAATTTACTAGCACAGGATCTAAAAATTCCAGAAGCTACAAATGTTATAATTAGAGTAATAAAATATTTTAGAAATAAGCATGTTCCTGCTGCATTATTTAAACAAGCGCAGGGAAAAACAAAAAAACTAGTGATGCCCCAGGAGGTACGATGGAACACAATGAGTGACGCAATCAAATCATATTTAGATAATAGAGGTATACTTGTGCAAATATGCCAAGACAATAAAGATGATATTGATATTGAAATTATTAAAATTGTAAACGATAGCCATGTCGCAAAGAACGCTGTTGATCTTGTAGCCCGCTTAACACCAATTGCAGTGGCCCTTGATCGAATGCAAAGAGCAATAACAACTATTTCCGTAGCTGTTGAAATTTGGAATAAATTAGAAAAAGATTTACAAGATCAACCACTTGAGGTTAAAAAACATTTTCACAAGCGCAGAAATATGGCGTTAGGAGGTGCTCATTTTGCAGCAAATATGTTGGATCATAGATTTCTTGGACAACGATTAAACAACGAGCAGAAAGAAGAAGCATATGCATTTATTGCCAGTAGGAACGAAGATTTTTTGCCATTTGTAATGGCCTTAACATCTAACTCGCTCCCATTTCCTAAATATATGTTTGGACTACAATTCCGCAATACCAGTCCATTAGTGTGGTGGAAGTCATTATGCCTTACCGGTTGGCCTACAGAAAAAGAAAACTTTCTAACATTTTGTGAAAAGCTACTAAGAGCAATTGTATCGACAGCATCATTGGAAAGGTATTTTTCAACATTCGGCTTGGTACAATCAAAATTAAGAAATCGATTGGAACGTGACAAAACAGCTAAACTTGTTTGAGAAAGACCTTAAAAATTGTTTATAAAAATAAATATCAGGAAGTTGATATATATCGGATATATATCGATATATATCCGATATTTTGATATTTATATAAATATCATGATATTTTCGAACCCTGATTTAAAGGAATCTATAAAACCAAGTAATAAGATCAATTTATCCTGCAGTCCTATTAGCAAAAAAAAAATAACTGTAATAAAATAATTGTTAATTTTTATGCTTTTACAAAATCCTAATAAAACGTAAATAAAACGTTATTCTCTTAAAAATTTTATTTGGGAATCCATTATTTTGGGTTGATATTCTGGAAAATTGTTGAACATGGAAATCTAGCCTACCTCTAGTGTTATGTTGATGAATATTAGTATTGTAGACCAACTTATCCTTTTGGGTCACTGACCACTTTTTATTTTATGTATGAATATCATAGTTAAGAACACAATATACCTATTAATCGAAAGCTAACCTAATGGTATAAGCCGAGAACATTCCAGTATTATTCGCATACTTCTGTTTTGTAATTTTTGAAATCTATTCATTTCATTTTGATTAAACAAGTATAACACTGTTGAACAATAATTAAAGTGGGGAAGTATTATAAATAGTAACTTTTGCCCACTGACTGAGATATCTACTGCACCTACTAAGATGATTAATTTTGTAAGCAATAATCTTTACTAAATAATTACAATGTTCTTTGAATCCCAATTTCCTATCTATAATTACTCCCAGATATTTGTATTTCGTAAATCTCTATTATTACTTCTTTGCCAATGTATACTTTATTTGTTACTGTATCAGTACCAGATCCAATAAGCATCCATTTAGTTTTTTGTATGTTCCATCTATTCTAAAACCATGTTCTTTTATTTTAGCACGACCACTGTTCATAATTTTTAACTTTTCTCTCTCTCTCTCTGGGCATATT